TTACATAAAAATTTATATATAAGATAGTGTTATTTATTATTATTAATGTATATTTTATAGGATATGTATGCAGATGAATTGAGCGACATATAATATCATTTCTAATTAAATTAATATAATAAAACAAGGAAAAGAAAACAAATCAATCACAGCACCTTCGGGAGTTCTACTAAATTACTTATAATAAGTATATTGGATGGATATAAATATAATTTAGCTACTAGCTACGAGTTTATCTGTTTGGACTGAACTTTTTTCTTTTCTATTCTCTTAATACGTTTCTATTGTTAAAGCAATTTTATCATAATTTACTTGGACCTACTCCAAATAATATACTGAGAAAAATCGATGAAAATGTTACAGAACAACTTCAGTTTTCACGTATGTAAGAATAATCTAACGTTTTCTATAAATTCGTTTGAATTTATCAAATAAATTGATTAGGTGGTAGAGCCTAGCTGTGGTCAGTTACTACAGCTCAAACAAGGGCTGGCTCGACCGGGAAGTACCACACTCTCACAGAAGATTGTATGAGAACGTATGAGAATGCCGGCTGCCCTTTCCCTATTCCCAACTTACATCCTCAAAAATCAAGGTTGGCCAAACCAAGGATGTCCAATCGCGACGATACCTACTACCCATCACGTAGGCCATCTGCTCGTTTGCCACCTATCTCATAAAAACAAAGTTTTAGTAACTAGAATTATAACTAGTTATAAATACACTCATATATTTACATTACATAGTTCCAAATCTATTATTATGCACGTAGAATTCGACACCCGACTGCTTATTCATATGACGCTATGTAGAACCGTCTCAACTCCGATTAACTAATTATCATGCAGTAATAACACTAACTAGGGGATCTAGACCGAATATCCGATGAAGACATCGCGTATATGACTCCTGCATCACAATTACCATCAGTTCTCATTATATAGATTGAATAAACACGGAAACAGTAGCGGCAGTCGCTAATATGAAGATTTAGATTCGGTAATCCAATTAAATAAAAGGTCTTAAAATATTTACGTATATCTAACTTAGCATAAACTTAATATAAACAGAAATACACTTTTATTCTGTAGTCGATAAAAATTTTACTATAAAAACAATCCATTTTAATTATACATGAATTTCTCGTAATTTGCTAGAAACTTCCACAAACAAGGTACATATTTTATATTGAATTATAAAATCTTAAAGCACACGCTCACTCATTCTTGGAAAGAATAATATAACCAGTGGAAGTAATGGAGGACTATTAAGCGAACGTTTTATACATTTTCAAATACATTGCGTGCAGAAATTATCCCGTAAGTAATTGAGCGAGACTAAAAGGTGCCTTGGAATATATACGAGGGAAATAATTCATTTATCTTCCTTGTCCGCTTGTTTTGCTTCTACTTTTTCAGCGTAACCATCAATAAATCACGCACCTCTGTTTTTACCTCGGCAATAGTTTGCAAAGTGGTTTCTGCTTTTACTTCGGAATCACGTTAGTTTTATGTACAGCGAAAAAATATTTTGAATTTTGTGAATAGGCTCTCTAGCAGAAACGTAATTATGTTTTAGTGTGATATCAAAGGAATCTACATTTGTTGCTGGGCGTACATGAATTTTTGATTTATGCGATGTCGTTTATACGAGTCCACATTAAATCAACAATGTTTATAGCGCTTTGACAGTTAGTATGTAACTTAGTTTTATGATGTTAAAAAATTATTATCATTAATACAGCGAAATGTTGAATAACAAACAGATATTGCCTATCATAGGTCATTCATCGGTAATACTTATCGTGTAACACGACTACTGTATTATCAGTAATTATTATCATTAAATAATCGGTAGGTCCACAACTTAATACATTTCTGATTTCCCTTGAGACCGGTCCTTCCAAATAAAGGTCTCGTCAATTCCCATACAACATATATAAGACATGAAGGAGACATTATAAAATTCATAGCAATTAGCCAAGTATAATAGGCAGTGGAACATAATGAAAAGAATAAACTCACACCTATGATACTCGAGTTGGTACTATTGTATATGATATCTAAATGTTAATTCACACCCACATTGTATATAACCAAGGTCAAAACGCTTTAGAAATAACAAATAAAGAAAAGAAAGAAAGAATATAAAAGCTACACAATGACAAGTACGTTGACGGGTCTCCAAACAGACGTGAAATATAAAGAAATTAACAAAACAAACAGCACCTACATTCTGAAATTAATCAAGTATTGTGTTTGTCAAACCGTGTAAAATACATCGTCTTGCGTCAAGTAACTTTGACTTCAGGGAACAAACACTACAGAATTATTCTCTTGAGAAGTTCTAAATAACTTGTATTAAGTTTAAAATAAAACCCGACTCGGAAATTTGCTTTTAGATCGATGCATACACTCGTTATTCTTGACGACATGCTGTCAAAAGAATTGCGAAGCCCTAAAAATCTTTTTATTTTATACATATATACATACATTTTATACGTAATCGTATGTATAAACATACATATATACAAACAAATTATCTGTTTCAATAAATAACACACGCTTAAAATCGTCTTGCTGGCATAGATACATAAATGGAGCAAGAACATATTATACATCCAACCTTTATTGTTATTCAATTTTAAATATACATACACTTTAGTATCAAAATTTTATAAATATATATATTTTTAGATACCCATCGAAATTCTTTTTACAAAGAAAATGTTTTTTAACGCAATAATTCCTAATCCTGCACACCGACTGTAAAAGTAAATATATATTATTTAACAAAACTGTGAACTCCAAAAAATAGGCTTGCTTTTGTAATAAATTACAACGAAAATAATGAAAATAATGTCTCAAACATCAAAACATCTGCATTAGGGAATTGATTACAAAATTATTTAGACAATACCAAATAGTTTAGTTCGACCTAATGATAACTACTGTACTAAATGTCCGTCATAGCCCACAAACTGAGTGAAAATCGTTTTAACGTCTGGTTTCAATTTAGATACTGGAATTTTGATTATTGAACTTTGGAATACCAAGAATCACTATATCCTTTAAACTATCGAATTTAAATTTAAATAAATTATTTCTTTGTTGATAGCGTATCATTAAAAACATACATTGTACTACGAATTTTTATTTGTAATGGAAGCCAAATAATGTTTTATATATACACTTACTTTACATCCATAGTCTAATTAACTTCAAGTCTTGTATCTCAATTTATAGTTTAAAACCGAACTGAATACAAACATTTCGTACGTATCACTGAAAACCAACTAACGCTAAATGTTATCAGAGTACCAAAACGGATAACAATGATGCGTTGATAAGGTAAAGATAAAGTGTTAACAACTGTGACTAATACAGGGAATTGCAATTACTTCAATATGAATGAATATATGTTGCTATGATAGAAAAATTACGTGAGAAATTTGTAAAACAATAATTCATGATCAAATAAGACAAGGACAGCAGTATGTTTGTTATTTTTGAGCAAAAAATCTTAAAATCGATGTGTAAAACGCTGTTTTTTTTATATTACTAACAGTTTTTGAAATGGATTCAAAATCCAAAGTACGCTTGTATAGTTCATTATTTCATAATTTTACGCTGCATAATACAGACGCGGTATTTTGTATAGTTAAATAAAATTTAATATAAAGTACTAGAATTCGAATTTGATCTAGTCAGAGGCAAAACTTTTTCACCTCACTGTATCTGTTGTGAGCAAGCCTAGCCTTACATGATGAATAAACATCTAGCTAAACTCAGTAACGAGATATATCTTTTGTTTCGAAAAAAGGATTTAAAGTACAAATGTTGCAAATGTGACTTTAAATTCATGAAACATTTTTTATTTATTTTTATTTTTTGCCGTTTCTAACCGTAATAAATTTTCAGATAACATGATGCTTTTTCATATTTTTTCGTAAACGTTTACGAAGTTTAAGTTTTATTTTTGTTTATTCATAATTTAGTTGTATGTGAAACAGAATTTATTTCAGTTTCAATTAATAGATGTATATTTTTTGTTCATATGTACCATGTACTCGTAAATACTCTTTGCATTGCAATAGGATGCTAAATATTCATGTGCTGATAAGTTTTTCACGTTGCATTTTTACGTTGATGTAATATTTATTAGTATTAAAAGTTAGTTTAAAAAATATATCTGTTTTAACTTAAAGAAATTAAATATGAATTTAGTCTCGAATTACTTCATATTTATATAATATACGTCTTTCTTGTCACCAATCAAACAATGTTGGTTTGTTTGTGTTAAGATTTAAGCTTTATTAGAAACACCTATACCTAAAAGAAGTGGTTTTTTGTGATATAAACATTTCATGCTACCAATTAAACAGTTATGTCATAACACGGGTCAATGGATTTAACATTGTACCAGCAGCTTCCCGAACTTTCTCTCTCGAACCTCTACATAATGTTTCCAACAATATGTTTACAAATTTTGGTAGTTACATTGATGTTATGTAAGAAAAATTTCATAGCAATTTTTAATGTAGTTTTTATACGTGTATACTATATTATTGCTAAGTTATATTCGTCACAATAAATGTCAGGAATTAAAAAGTATTATTTAGTGTTTTTTTTTTCATATTCATAATGTAAGGAATTGGAACGTGAATTTGATCACTGCAATGTTAAAATCTCGTAGTAACATTAATCTAACATTATCCTTTATATGTATATACAGGTATTTAAATATAAATTATATACATCAGTAACGACGAATGGCTATAAGACAAAAATACACATATGTTTGTTATGTATTTTCATATTGGTATTGAACCAATTACACATTAAATATTAATTGAAACTAAAATTTAGATATATCTCATATAATACCCATTTAAAGCTAAATTCGGAACTTGAGTCGACCTCAAAGAATTACATAGATAGTGTTGTTTTTGTGTTTGTTGTCATCGGTCTGTTTTATAACACGAGTTGTTTAAACTTGACTTACCAATCATGTGGAGGCTGTGGCCGTCTTCGAGCCTGCACACAACACGGCGGCTCCTGAGGTTCGCAAGGCAGCTGCAGCGCCGGAGGAGGAGGAGGAGGCGGCGTGCAGGCCAGGCGACGAGCGGCCGCCGCACCGACGTACTCCACGTAACGAGACGGCGGTGGAGAGCCCGCGATGTCTTCCCGACACGCCGGCCCGCAGCACTTGCGCGTCGAGGGCGGAGGCGGCCGGCACGCCAGCCCGCAGTACACCGGGGGCGGAGGCCGCACCGGCGCCGGCGGCCGAGGCACATACCTCTCCACCGGCACGTGCGCCGCCGGCGGCACATAGCGCGGCCTCCGGGCTCTCTCGGCCTCCGCACTCCGGCGCACCCGCCGCGGCGACGCCGAGAAGCGGTCCGGCAGCGGCGCGGGCGGCGGCGGGCTGAGGCGCTCCGGCGGCGCCACGCTGAACGCGCCCACCGCGGGGAAGCGCTCGCACGGGGAGCGCGCGTACTCCTCGCCCATGGCGAGCCCGCCGCCGCCCGCGCGCCTCGCCACACTCAGCGGCTCGTCTCACATGCCGCACGCCCAGCTCCACACTCTCGCTCCGCTCGCGTCCTCCTAGCAGGCCGAGGCTGCGGTCTGTTAGCGATGTCCGCATTCACTCCGAGAGCGCCATCGCGCCCGCCGGATCGATAGCGGCGTCGCGGCGCTGCCTCAGGGTCCTCGCCTCGCGGTCGCGGAGCCGCGTCGCATCTCGCTTTACCTTCGATCCTTTTGAAACGGTCGCGATTAAACTCTTATGATAGGGCGAGGCGAAATTGCGTCCTCGAACAAGATGGCCGCTTTCGTCATATCCGCGCTGAGCGCGCCTGCGCTAATAACACTTTCCTATGTTTGTTTTCACTGTAATGATATTTGATATACAATTTTAACACAGAAATATCGGGTTATCGATGTCCGTTTCACTGGTAACTATGTGTTCGATGAAGTTATCGCGTCACGGCTGCGAAGGTCGTGGTCTGTTTCGTGACGGGACGTGAAACATGCGTCGCGAATCGTTCAGTGAGCTCGCGACAGCAGCGGAGGCGAGGAGATGTGGAAAGGAGTGCGCGTGTCCGGGGGGTGCGGGGCTGTGCGGGGGGGGGAGGGTTGGTGGTCCGCAGAGACTTCAAGCCGCTGCGCGTCCAGGATGCGCCGTCGACACCGCAGTACAGCCAGCCCGACCCTAACGTCACTGTGAGCTCTTGTTACATGTATACTATGTTTGTTGTCGCGCTCCGAGACGACTTTATAACCAATAATCCGCTAACTGTTCATGTAATCCATTTCATTCAATCGCCCACCAGACAGTCGTAGTTTAACTGTTTGTTGATTTAATCCCTCGTTAAAATTTAACCGTGAAATACGCCGTTCATAATTTCTATACTGAATTCGGTCAAGTATCAGTCGAGTTCTACTTAGAGTTTTTTAGCCGATAAAAGAAATTTCCCTCTACTTTCCATCGAATTTCTTGGCTCCACTTATACATATGTACGTCTGAATGATCGTAGATAAAAAATGAATGAAATATGAAAACCCAATTTCCCTGGTTCGAGTAATTTTGTTATCTTAAAGTAATTTAAAAATTATGAAATATTTTTTTATTGCTCCTTCTTGGTTGGTCGTAATTTTATAGCCACTTCTGAGTTTCTATCGAGGACGGATTTAGTGTCAGACCTTAAAATTTAAAAGGTCCATAAAATTTAAGATTGATTAAGTTCGGGGTGATATAGGAACAAATCCTTACTTTTTTCCTTTAATACCTCACTGTTTATTACTTTTCATACCTTTCCATTTTTAATTTATCTTTTTAAATTTATGTCTTTTATTAGAATAAAATTTCATTACGCAATAAAAATATTTCAATAACTTTAATTTCAATATCTTTTCTATTTTAAGACATACTAGAAAACACAAATTAAGTTATTATAAATCTGCAATAAGATTATGTACTTCAAAGAAGACAATAGATTATTATTTATAAAACATAATAAATAGATATAATATCGGATTACATACAGTATGTAAAATGTGACTGTAAATTAACAATAGCGTGAAATTACGTAAATATAATATTTAATAATTCATTTAAGATTCCAATAGAAATTTAAAATATATATAAATATATATATATATATATATACAGGGTGACTGGTGAATTACTATCGATATTTGAGGATGTGATATTTGACGATCATATATGACAAAATAAAAATTAATATAACATAAATATTAATAAACTTCTAAGTAAAGTTAACCAAAAGTTATTTAATTAATTACGCATCGTATGAACACCCTACAGATTAGGTATACACACACACACACACACACACGTGCGGCGGCGTGTTGTTGTATCAGCACGCCGCCGCACGCCTCCACACATGGAACACTTGGAACGTGTACACACTTTATTTATTTATACGTAAATTTGGTCAAAAATTAAGTACCTATTTTTTTTTTCTAATTCGAATGAGAATTATGTACCGAGTATGCTCCTTAAATATTGATAGTAATTCACCAGTCACCCTGTATATATATATACTAGCTTTCCGCCCGCAGCTTCGCCGCGTGGAGTTCGGTTATATCGCGTTTCCAAGAGAACCTTTCAAAAGTCTGGGATAAAAACTATCCTATGTTCTTTCTCAAGGTCAACTCTATCTCTGTACCGAATTTCATTAAAATCAGTTCAGTGGTTTAGGCGTGAAAGCGTAGCAGACAGACAGACAGACAGACAGACAGAGTTACTTTCGCATTTATAATATTAGTAGGGATATTTGGTATTTAATAGTATGCGCCCCCTATAGAAACATGATTTCATTTAAAATACCTTTATACATTATTCCTTTATTATTGGAGAGTATCATGAAAATCAATTTTAAATATTAACCCTATAAATAGTATTTATGTAGCCTTAGTATGAAATAGTTCATTCAATAGTATTCAAAACTCATATTTCAGCCTACCTTAACTATACTAAATGTATAACTAAAATGGAAAAGTATAACTCGATACAATATAATTTTAAAAACATACTACTTCATTTATCTCATAGATTTATTATATAACTTTAGATAACTTTATTATCCAATTAATTTGTTTTCTAGAATAGTCCATGAAGTCAATGACTTGTTTATACACGAAATCTAGTTGTAACATTGTAGATATAATATTACATTAGCACCAGCATACATCATTGTGGTACAATAAATCTAAGAGCGCTTAACTAAAGTTACGTAACTTGTAACTTTGCGTGATAAGACATTCATCTTTTGGAGCACTTAATTTACTTAAGACGGAATATAAGTTAAGAGGTATTTATAACAGATTATATGTGTATTTATATTAACTTTTTAGGGTAAAAATGATAATGTTACTTTCAAAATAGTAATTTAAAACGTAGTAAAATGCATTGTAGACTGAATCTATGCCAAATATTTTGTTCCCAGAGGGCTGGGACCCTTAACGTGTTTTTTTTATTGAGACTCGGTAAATTCGATATTCAATATTTATTGGAAGTTAATAATTATCTTTAAATAGTCTTCATTGAACAGACATATTAAACTATGTTTATTTAAGATTATTAAAGGAATATTCTATAATTAAATTACATTCACTAAATAATGTGGCTTTGGTGTAAAAAGGCATATAAAATACCTTAGATACACAATAATACACGTAATTCTGATATTTTTGAAACACAAGAAAAATCTTCAATAATAATATATTTTTTCCGTTTTTACAAAATCATATTCCGAATTTATATTACACATAATTCAAAGGCTGAATCTTTTTAGGGATCTTATTTGTCCTAACAACGTCGCGTGGAGAGATGACAATCAAATAACTGTTATTACGACAAGAGCTAGTTAACTAACAAGGTTCTGAATATAAGTTTAGTTATCTGAATAGGATTTTATTTTTAACTATTTTGCAAAGCAAGGAGGTTTTAATTCTACTTTTTTCTACTACCTTTATGCCATGCTTCATTAACCATACCTACTTGTTTTATGTTTGCATTTAATGTAATTGAATTTTGACGGTTGACAAAATGACATATGACATATTATGACATATGACACATGACTTTATGTAACTTCTGTTTACGATTATATTGTTGAATTTTAATTGGTACTTATATAATTATATTCTACTATGTGTTCGATTTGTCACTTGTTTCCGAGAAACTAGTTATGGTGACGCGAAAATTCTCTTTATATTTTTAATATCTCTTTTTCTTTTGTCTATATTTTCATTAAAAAGTTATCCATTAAAAATTGTACTTCTTAAAATAGCATTTAATAGAAAGTTTCGTAGAATGACTGACGCTTCTTTGTACATTTTAAATTATTATTTTTTAAGGATAAACAAAATATGAAACATAATTCAGCATCGCATTTCCATAGAAATATTCTACAAAAAAGATAGGAATTAAATGTACATTATTTTAAGCCGTTAATTAGCGTTTCAATTTATTTGTTTGAGAGATATTTGTTAAATTTAAGGAAGCTTTCTATGAAGATTTCTTTATTACAGACAACTCTATATAATGTCATAAAAATTATCAAAAACATTATAATATCAGATTTAACATAATTAAATATAATTCTTATAATAATATTAAATTAGAATAAGACGTACAGTAAAAACAAAGAAAAAATTAGAAAGACTAATTGCTATACATATCTGTGAATTAGTAATAACTGGAATACTATTGGTAGCATAGAGATTGAAACGCAAAGCACATGGATAAATGTATAAAATGTGTTAATATAATAAATATCATATGTTAACCTGACCATCTATAGTTATACGACTTTAAACATGAAATAACCGTTGTACCTTGATCCTACCATATCTACATAGAATCTTTAGACAAATTATAGCCTATATCTTATTCCTACATCCAAGCTACATTATCACAAAATTTCATCAAAATCGTCATAATAGTTTTTGTGTGAAAGAGCTACAAACATCCAATGATACATACATACACTATTACTAACATATAATATTAATTAGTTATATTTATGATCTAAAGGTAAACAACATTTATCTAATTACTTAAACAGCGAAGTAAATGGCCAGTAAGTAGATTTATTTATAATCCTAGCTGAGTCTGTGCCCTTGTTGATAATGAAAAACTTTGTAGTAATAAACTATTTATACATTTTAATCCAATAAAAAACGAGAGAGACAGACGGGAATTTTCATATTTATAACGCTTTGAGTTTGTGAAATTTTGAAGTTTTACTAAGATTAATATATAATGTACAAGTTCAAGTTTGGTTTAATAATAGATATTAAGTATACTTACCATCTCAGCTTGCCCACTCGGCGTAGGGTTGGATTTCATCCACATTGGATGCATTCAGTTACAAGGGTGTACGTGCATCGTGGTCATTTTTATCACGCCCGTACAAGATGTGGCATGATCTTCCGCCCGAGGTTTTTCCAGGGAGCTACAACATGAGGTCTTTCAAACATCTATAACAACTCTTATTTTCTAAATGTCCATGGGCAACAGTGACTACTTTCTTTTAGATCAGTGATTCCCAAAGTGGTCCAGGTGGACCCCCAGGGGTCCACGGGAGACTTGCTGGGGGTCTACGTAGGCGTGAACAAAAAATGGGGGTCCACGAAAATTTTTCTGCTTTTGATAGTAAAGAGCAAAAATGTAAGCATAGTTTTTATAAGGGCCTACCTACATTATTTTAAGTACCTAACTAAGCAGATAATATTTTAATAAGGCAAGCGACTGTTACTTGTCCAAACTTGCGTATTCGATATTGCGTACAATTTCGTGTACAGACTTGAAAAGCGCTATCCGCCCGACAATGCTTAATGCTTGTTCAGACATGAACTTGATCACCACTATAAATACTTGATGCCAAAGGCAAACTCATTCATTTGTTTCCAAAATTTCTAAAATTTTATCTTACCTATCGGAATATAGAGACAGAACTCAGAAGTGACACAATTTTTATTTTTTGGCGACTTTAAGAATGTGGTAGAAATGTAGCAGCAGGGGGTCCACCGAAACCAGTAAAATTTTGAAAGTGGTCCACGAGAAAAATAAGTTTGGGGACTACTGTTTTAGATAGACCGTCTGCCCGTTTTTGTCATAAAGTCATATAAACAAAACTTTTCCATTCATGTATCTACTTTAATACTATCATATACGATGGCTCAATAATAAAATTCTGTTTAGTTCCATGAATCTAATACCTGGTAACAGCTCAGCTTGCGTCATACATTATTTATACCTATTACCTAATCGTTTCTGTTAAATTTCATTTACGTCCGAAATAACTAAACATTATCTAACAAAATTAAAGATTGGTTAAGAATGAGTATATTTGAAGCGATAAAGATTTTATACGACATATTATGAACCAAAGTCAGTGGTTAAAAGGTCCGCCTCTCATGCAAGAGGGCACGGATTCGATCCTGGCAAGTACCAATGTGATTTTTCCGAGTCATATGTACTTTCTAAGAGTATTTAGACATCACTGATTAATGCATTCCCAAAGAAGGTTGATGTCAGGCAGGCGGCCGGTCGTAAAAATAATTAGCCAAAACTGAATAGTTTTTGTATTGTATTGTATTGTGAATACAACATGTAAGGCAGACCCTGGCTAAAAGATGGGAAATTGCCAGGTAGAAGAAGAAGATATTGTGAACCAAAAAACATGACACTATTAAATTTTCGTATTAGTTAAAATATCTATTTAACAAGTTCTATGAAAATATAGCATATTCCCTTAGGATATATTTCTTTAAATATGATGTAATATATTTAAAAAAAGGAGACTAAGAAACAGTTTTACATATTACATGGATCTACGCAACCACGCCATTTTTTTCAACACAGCCAAGCGTTATTAATATTTTAGCAACAAAAAAAACTACAAATATATTAGCTTCATAAAAATAATTTCGCTAAGAACCATTTTTATTTCATACAAAATCTTAGTACATGAAATTACAATGAAAGATAATGTTTCTGACATTACATTTCATTTCACGAATAATCCTTTTAAAGTAGTTTTTGGACTGAAAAACTTCGAAACTTTATTAATTTTAAGATGTGAACTCGCACAAAGTATACAGCATCTTTAATTAGAATTTGCTTAACGGAGTCTTAATTTTGTGACGTGTCTTTATAATTTATTATCTGAACAAGTGTATGATATTAAATGTTTATGTTCAGCATTCATCAAAAGCAATACGTAAAAATATATAAAATCTTCTATCTTCTATATATATAAAAATGGATTGCTGTTCCTTAGTCTCGCTAAAACTCGAGAACAGCTGAACGGATTTATCTTATCTTAGTCTTGAAATGTTCGTGGGGGTTCAGGGAAGGTATAAAAGCTGAAAAAATTTTATTCATTACTGGGAAAACCATAAAAACAGCCCTTTTCTATTTCCCATACAAACGTTTTTTTTGACATTAGATTTGACAACAAACTAATATGTCAATCATTCTGTTCGATTGAAACAGGAGAAACCGATAATTAATGGCCTCTAAAACGGAATAGAGTTCGCCCGGTCAGCTATACATATATTACTAATGATGAAATTAACGCGGACGAAGTCGCGGGCAAAAACTAGTTGAAAATAAAAATTAGTTAGAACAGAATCTCCAATATTTTCGAAATATCATAGTAGAATAATTTTGAAAAATCGAACACATTAAACTAATTTTATACAAATAAACGATAATTAACTAAAAAACTAAAATATGTTAACAAAACCACAAAAAAAATTGTTTGTTAGTTGAAATCATACAGTAAATAATGTAATAATATAATTAATTCTATCATTATAATGTTTTAAATATTTTTAATAAATATCTGTTTTTATTGCATAATTTTCAAAATTATATAAGATTTTTTTACGTATGGCAATTAAACGATATATGTCAATTTTATTTTAATATTATTCCTAAAAAAGAAAGTAATATAAGAAATGCTCTCTAATGTTACTGAAAAATAGAATACTTACAGTTACCTGTATAAAATATGAGTACATGTGAAACATTATGAATATGAAAATTGTTAGGTTTAAAAACATTATATTATTTACGGCCGCTCGGAGTATAAAAAACATAACCTTTGTTATGTTTCCATGATTTAATTACATCGCCGGGAATACATTTATAATACGTTTAAAACATTACATTTGATACTTTGTTTATTTTATATATTTTTTTTCTTTCGATAGGTTTCTCATTACAACTTACGGAATGTACTAAAATTATTTGCAATGATTCCCACCGTGCATATTAGCCGATTATCTATCTTACGAGTATATAAAATAATATACGTATTATAATTTAGCCACTTTTAAGTTTTGTTATGATTATTACCTATTGTATTTAACTTTTAAGACAAGGTCGGCAACGCATCTACAACATTTTTTATGTTGCAGATGTCCTTGGGCGATAGTAAGTATGTACTTACCTTTAATTCCTCATTTGCTCCTCAGGAACATAAAAAACTGAACATAGTCTCTCACTCATGAATATTACCAAAAAACTAGCTATTAAATATGAAATGATATTTACTTCTCTTTATTTGTAAGATAGACATATGAAAAAAATAAACGTTTATTTTGATAGCATCTCCATAGATTAGAAAAAAAACCCGCCATTTTTATTTGACAGATTAAAGTGCCCCAAGGTAAACCTTGTACTTAGTTCTTGTCAGAACAATTTTTGAAGTATTCGTTTACCTACGTATAATTAATAAATGTAGAAAAAACAACATAAATGTTAGAAAAGAAAAAATTTAATAGAACCTTATCGGTATTAAAATGTTATTTACAAAAAAAACTTGCCAGGATCAAATTAATATATAATTACAAGAAAATACGATGTAAACTTTTTTACACATATTTATTCCAATAAATTAATGACTACAAGAATTTGAATTAAATACATTTTTAATAATAATTAATCGAAGTCACTGTTATATCAGTCCTTTTAAATTTATAACAATAATAGAATTTTTTTAACTAATTTACGTGTTCCTTAATTACAAATAAATAATCTTATTAACTATTGAACTGGTTCAACTTGTTTCGGTAGTGTTAGCAGCATTTCTAAACTTTAACGGTTCATTTATTGGTTCCGGAACTATACAGTCGTCCCATAACCACCACACTGTGATCAAAATCTCTACGTTAATAAGCAATAAAGATATTAATGGTATCGCTAATTTACTTATTAATGCTTTTAAACCTCCCTTTAAAAGCAACATCGGTCTTATGATTCCATCGATAACAATTTGTTTAAATCCCCTCACTAAAAAATTGTTGGAATTCCCAACTATAGCATGGATTAACTCCACTAGACCATTAAGTTTACCAGACACTTTCTCCGCAACTGGTGCAAGCAAATCCAATTTCGGCGGGAATGGGTTCAAACCTTCATGGTCGAATTTAACAGGTGGTAAAAGTATCGATTTCTCTTGAAAAGACGGTATCCACGGTTCAAATGATGTTTTTGGTTCGAAAGACGCTCGATTAGATAAATCTTCACTGGTCGTGCGAGGATTTTGTGGTCTTTCTTCGTTTTTTGGCATCTGATCCATTTTATGTAGTATTTCAGTAAATGAATTGGTATGTGCGTTACCTTTTTCGACATCTGTCAAGGGCTTAGGTTGAGATATATGTATAATCTGTGGCGGCCTCATGTTATTTTGTATATTTGAATTTTGAAACGGTAATGCTTTTGATTCCATGTCGCCCGGCGCGCTTCGGTATTCATAAGGATAGTAAATTCTATCTGCGGTTACGTGAAATACACAGAAACAGAAACACAGAACTAACGTCAGACACATTTTCATGTTGGTGACTAAAGAGCAATTAAATATGTCATCTTGTTAAATTAATACATGAACGCGACGCTGTTTGAATAATGTTCTGCAATGTAAGCAAAATAAATACGACCCAGTTTCATTTTGCCTAATAAACTTTTTTGCTGTGTTAATATTTTGTTATAATGATGATAATTTTTATTACGAGCATATTATCATTAAAACTTTAATATTAGCATTGTCGCATAAATGAAACAGATTATAAAAAATATCGTCCGTGGCCACTCTTGTATTGCGGTCATTTAATAAACTTTAAAACATTTTTGTTTTATGCTATACTTTACAAATGTGTAATCTTAAAAAAACCACATAAATACTTATAAAACAATCTACAGACTTAATTCATTTACGTGTTATTAAAAAAAACATACGAAATTAATCCGATGTTGAACGAAAAGTGCCAGAAAATGTATATATCTTTTGTAACGACGCATCAGCTTATATCAAAGCCGGGGTTGCAGTCCATTGACATACATTGAGCGACCTTGTCACCGGCGAGAACACTCAACAGTGTTCTAGTTATAAAGCCGTCTTCTTGGTCGTTTATCAAAGAGAATGTCACGGCGGTGCCCAAGTTACTCCCCCAGCTATCCGAGGACCTTTGTATGATACACGCGAGACGCTCCGAACAATCCGTCGCCATCCTGGATTTCTTTTTCTTTTTCTTCATATATTTCATCAATTTAGATAGCACCGGCCACAGTAAGACCGCTTTCAGTCCTATTTTTGCGATCACCATGACAGTTAGTGGCAATAACATGAGTTTCCCGCCGATCAATTTTAAAACAGCAATTAATGCTGCAGATAACATTATTTTGGCCGCGCTTCCCAGTATGCTTGCAAACGAGGATAGAGTGTCCTGTTTTGGACATGAAGAGTAAGGACCAGAATCGCTATAGGATTTCCGTATTGGTTCCGAATAATAATTGGATGCTCCGGTAAATAAATCTACAAACGGGAGAGGCGGTGATTGTGTTGTCAATGAACTCGGCCCGTGCTCCTGAGCGACAACTTCCGACAACACGAAAAAAACAACGGCCGCCACGTACATGACTAAATAAACTGACGGCTTTAAAAAAACCTCATTCTATTTAAAAACTTTAACGTAAAATCATAATTTCATGTTAAATGCGGGAAGGAAATAACCATAGCAGTATAATTTAAAGAAATCGGGGTCAATAACTTGGCATCAGAAACCGAATAAGAAAAATGAAAGTAGAACTTCGTTAAAATGTTCTTTGAAATTTTCTACTTCACGTATAGTAGCACTCAATTATTTTTTTTCTTGGCTGTTTTAATTTTTCTTATTTTATTTTGTAATTATAAAATGCATAATTTTCATGAAGAGCTACAATGAAATCCTATTTTCAATTCAGTCGTATTTAAAAGATCATTGTCAATTATTTCTTTTTGTTGCTATATAACTCTTTTTATTACATGGCTGAATAGAGTTAAACCTTAGATTCTCTGTTACATGACATATGATTGGAGGGAAAATGTGAGAATTTTATCAAATAATCAAGTATCAAGTTGAATTCGCGAGTAAAAAACAATTAGTAAATATATAAATTTATAAAAAAACTCTTAATTTTGTCGTTTACTTAAAGTAGTTTATAAAAGAGAATTACGAAAAGTGTGTTTATTACAAAATAGACTTGAACAACATTATGCCGCCGTGGTGTTCATCAGGTATTTGAAACAAATTAATTTTAATTTTATGTATCGCAAACTACTGAATAACAATTTAAATGAATGAAACTAATTTTATCAGATAACTATGCGTTTTTTATCTTTTTTTATTCGAGGAAATTTCTCTTCTAACGAGTCTCGTCTGCCCGTGAGCACTCTCGCAAAAATAATCGAAACGTCGAGAAAATCTAAAATAAAATAATAAAAAACAAGTTGTTATCCGAAAAACTTAGTTTCATTTAAATTTGCACACGAGAATACCTTAGATATAAATAAATTAAATGAAGTTTTTTTTTCATGATTTTGTACCCACTTATAAAATAAAAGATTTCTTATAAAAATTTAAACATCTTTAAGACAATCGTTTAAAAATATATCTTTTCTTTACAACCTTAAATTGAATCATCAAGAAAATAAAATCTTTCAAAACCGCGAACGATTTGTGTCATAACATAAATAAAACGCTTACATTAAAATAAAATTTTGATACAATAAAAATTTTGCTTCAAAACTAAAATTTTTAGCACAGCATGCTTAAAAGAAAGGAAAAATTTTGCTTGCTGTTTTTCGTGAGCGGTCAACGATACTGACCCAGTGAATTTACTGAAACAGTAAATAAACAATAATATGAGAATAATTCATGAGTCTCTCGAACTCGTCTTCAATATTTTATCTACGATACATTATTTAGTTCGTCACACGCTTCAGTGCGCTTACTACAAGTCTGTACGATTTACTACATACGACGTGTTTGGAGTACTTCATTCGTTAATCTTCGTATATTTCGCAAATAATATTATTAATGTAGTTTACTGAATGGGAAGCCAGAAAAAATTGTATTCTTCTTTCATTGAGTAGTAAGCATATAGAAAATAAACTGTATAATTTATTTATAATTTTCAGATTATATCTATATAATGATTATTTAACAATAGAATTATGAAATATTTGGTCAACTATTCTCGTGTAATATTAATAATAATTAATTTAAATGTACATATGTCAGTACAATCTATTCTCACACATAATATGTATAAGTTACTTAACGTCACATGCTGATTATAAGATATACCTTCAAACAACGTAATTGACAGTTTTTCGGAGTAAGAAATCTGTGACCCTGATACAATATGTACATTACTTAAACAATTGTAGAACAAATTTTTTCAAATACATACGTAAATAGTCTTATATACTTGTGTGGGTATTTATGTGTGTGTGTGTATCTATATACCAAGTATGTAATAATTACAGTATTATAATATAAATGATATGCACAAACAAAGCATAACTTAGCTCTCAATAAAAATCTGAGCAAAATAATATTTTCATAGAAAATACAAGAGCAGAAATTTCTGGCTGTATTATAGGTACAGAAAAGGGTTATACTTAAATAACCATACAAATATATATACATATATATTAGATTAAACCTCTAAATTTTTCAAACGTTTCTATATAAAAATCCAACCGTGATTCCCGCGACCTACAAACCGAATTGCTTTAATAATTAAATCGGAACGTTCACCTGCAGCGGACGCCTCTAATGATATTAATAGACTGTTACTATTACTTGGATTACATTTAAACTTACATTATACTGATCATAGATAGCTATTACAAGATTATGTTTAACACTAAATCTATACTACGTCTTTATTCGGTTTCACTTAAAGATATATCTCTATACTTGATGTATGTATATAAGAAAAATATTTTATTAAATATATAATAATATTAATAATTATTATTATTATTATTATTAAATATATAGTGTATATGTATATTGTTTATATACAGTAATTTTAATAATATGAATGATATAATAATGTTTATAGAATATATTTAAATAAGCCAAAATAGAAGTCTTTAATTGAGTGGTTCCTCTTAAAATGGTTCTTATATTCAATATAATCTACGATATATATTATATATGTATTGAGAATCTTTATAATATACACTCAAAAAATGTATGACTGAAAAAGAACTCGCGAGCTTTATCCTTACTACTAGTGTGATTCTTCAAACTACATATCGCTAGTTTCACGTTTTTCGTTCATAATACTTTAAGATAGTATCAATGTAATACTAACAAAAAAATATTACTTTAATTTAACAAAGTATCATAGTAAGAGTATTGTATCCTTAGAACAAGTGTTTGCATTCTCACTACATACGTACCGTTTTCAGTATTTCATTCACATTATATGTAGTATGTACTTAATGAGAAACGGGAAAGGCTTAGTTTGTATAACGACACCAACTCGTTCTAAGCACTCTGATAACAAAAGGAATCAACTTAAGAGTGGAAGCTATTAATTAGATGTAGCAAGGAAATTACAGAACATGTAATATTAGACTATTTTGTGTCCACAGGAAGGAAGGCTAATGTGCTTAAAACACCTCTCGACGATATAACATACTTTAATGATAGAAAATGTAGAAAAAATATCAAAAAGATTCGAATAAAACGACGAAATAGAACGAAATACATCGTGATAATAATGATCGTCTTCAGTTTAACGAGTGAGTTATTATTATTATTAGTATTCCGAATTAATATATTATTATGACTTTATACTATGATTAAATAAATATATGATAAATTAAATAAAAAACATGATTCTATCACTTAATATATTGACACGATTGCGCAGTAGTTAAAGTGGCTGGAATGTCATGTTTCAACTATCCCAGGTTGGAACTCTAACGCTTTATAGTCATTTTAATCCCAATTTTTTGTACTGAAAACCATAAAAATAAAAAAGAAACGTAATTAAAACGATTGACATAATTTATTTATTTATGCATTATATTTAAATATTTGTATGTACGACTGTCATTCTATAGCCACACTTATTTTTCAATAAACCTAATTGTCCATTATCGTGTCCTCACTAAGTTTACACAACAGATTAACTTCCACACAGACACTTTGCTCTTGTGCACAAGTTTGTATGAGAAAAAGTTATTTTTTCATTTTTCTTTTAAAACAACTCGCTGCTCAAGCGTGACTGCTTTTAGCGGAGTAGATAAGTTTTCGCGATACACAATTTTTATTAGTAATTATAATCTAAGATACATTTTCTAATATATTTTGCCTACCACTGGTTTGCATAGTCACAGTACATACGAATACTTAACAGTTTTTCATGTATAAATCTTCGCACGTTATTATTAAAGTATTGGACCAGAAACGGTAAACGCTACGTAAGTAGTGACGATGCAAACTTGTGCTAAGCGTACAAGACATTATTAATATGAGTTAATAATAATATTCTAGTTTCTTTCCTCCTGCCATACATTGATCTTAAAGCGAATAACATAACGAAAATACTCCTGAAACCAGATGTTTTGAGTTTACGTAAGTAATCAATTGAACTCTATAATGTTTTCATACTACAAGATTGCATTGTGATTCGTGAAGGTAAAATCGTCAGTTCCATAATGTACGTAAAGTTACATGATAGAAGATTTTTGACGAAAACACTTCGTATACCTCCGTTTGATATATGTACGAAGATGTATGAATGGGTAACTCTAAACTATCTGTTTTTCGTTACAAACTCGTAGTAAGAGAGGACCGTCACATGTTAAGTACGACATTGATTTATAATGTTCGTATACATACAATTGAACGTGTTTCAACTGTCGTGTCAAAGTATCAAAACTTTTCTGACATTTCAACTGCTGTCAAATCAAAACTTCGTACTAAAACAACCGCTCAATAATATTATTTGCTAACAAAACTTTGTCCTTTGTATAACAAGCTATAAGACTAAAGAAAAATAATAATGTTTTTAACATTTGATTCAAAGGGGGCCATAAATCTGATATTATATATGTTCTATATATCTTTCTATGGTATTGTATCTTGTAGAAAAATCGACCGATTTCGATTGGGTTTTTTCATTTCACAGCAAGTTTTATTTCGGTGTTTCTTAATTATATTTCATTAAAATTGGTCCGGCATTGTAAGAGTATCGAAGTTTTCAAAAAAGATGTAGACAAAAACTCGTTAATTTTATTTAATTTTTTATACGTCTAATAATACAATATCACAATAAGTATGTACTTGATCGTATTATTTCTTAAACAGCTTCTACTGACGTTGAAAAAAAATTCTGTGATAGATTAAAGCGATTACAATTACAATTAAAAAAGGCAGAAAAATCTTTAAGGTACTGAAACAAATATATAATAAATTTTAATACAAAACAAGCATTAATTTTCTTTAAAAATATAATTCCCTTTTATTTTAAGAACTACACTCAGACATAGAAACACGGTGTTGCAATCAGAAAATTATTATAAAGGTAATTAAATCAATGAAATAAAGAACTATTGTTATTATCTGAATACTATTTTATTACTGGAACGTTTATTAAAGAATATCAATTCGCAGAATACCCAATACAATACATAGTCGGTTGTAAAGCTACACAGGGTAGTGAGACGACAGAGTGGGCCGGCAGTGTTACATTATTAGGTTTGTTGCCTCTGTGGCGAGCTACTCTACCGCCAGACACCGTACTCGCTGTGAGACCGCCCACACCAGGCGATTGCTGGCCTTTTAGGTTCGTCAATAAAAGCACTGAACTATAATTGTTTTTATATTTCTAACAATTTGAAGAAACCTTCATTAATTACCACCCACGGCTTAACCGAGTTTATATGGTTGCTTAATAATAGTCTTTTTCTATTTAAAATTAAGCCTCTTTGGAAATAAAAATAAGGTATTTTTTCTTTTATAGCCAATTTACTGGTAGCTGGATTTATGTTAATGTTTCATAGGTACAGTTCTCAGGCGTTATGAATCACATGATGCCGATACCGAGAATGTACTCGTATTGAGAAAATATGACGCTAGTTTGATTTTAATATATTGACTACTCACAAGCTTCAAAAGTTATTTATATTTCTAAGAGTACGAAGTTAATCTTTGCAATAATTTAGTTTGTATAGTAAAAAGTTTCTACACATCAGAAACGCAAAACTCACGCAGACACGTTCTCACACAAACACACACACGCATTCACGTATATACATTGATTTAAAGTTCTATTGCTATTGAATTTTCCAGAGGTTCGTACGGTGAAATAATAATAGAACTACCGAAATTAATACAAGTGGACACAGTAAGCGTTGAACACGTGCGACCCGACACAGCTCGAAGTGCTCCTAAACATTTTAAAATATTTGTAAATATACCTATTTTCTATTGTTCATCCTACTAATGTTATAATTGCGAAAGTTTGTGAGTGTGTGTGTTTGTTACTTCTTCACGCTCAAACGGCTGAACCGATTTTGATAAAATTTTGTATACAGGAAGCTGACGTCCAAGAATAACACATAGGCTTCTTTACATCCTGGAAATCCGCGGGTAACACCGTGGGGCGCAGCTAGTTTAAAATAGTTTTCACATTCATTTACATATATACTTTCCCATATTCCAGGGTGTCCTCAGTAACGGGACTTGGGTCAAAGGAGCAAGTGGTATCTACACATACAACAGACCACCCAAACAATATTTCACATTTAACATAAATAAGCTTGTAAAACAGATCATCTTACGCGTGTTGTCTAACCATGGGAATAATAAATATACTTGTATATACAGAGTACATTTATATACTAAATATACAAATGAAGTGTAGAATAAAATAATTTTAGGTCCTAACTAAGCATCTTTCATTCTATTTGAGGGGTAATCCGTTTGTATTCTGGTAATAATAGTTTATATACAGAATTAAGTGACTATGGGAATATAACTACATACAATTATTAAACAAAGTTCGTGAACTACATAGTTAGTTACTGATTCAATAAACAAACAAAGAGAAAATTATGTTGTGAAATTATTATGCTGGTATAGCTAAAGATATTCTTCAGATATCAACTAAAAGGTGGCATAAAACATATGTTTTTCAAATGAAAACTGATCAAAATAAATCAAATTCATACTAAATTAAGGATAAAGATATTCTTCAGATATCAACTAAAAGATGACATAATTATTTTCTTAAATGAAAACAAATCGAAAATTACCAAGTTCATATGAAATAAAGGACTATACAGGATATGCAATAAAAATCCAGTTATGTTTCAATGTATATTAAGAGTGCACATTTAGGCTGGGTTCCATCCTTGAGTGGAGCCACCCCATGATGGAGCGGCGGGGGCTGCCGGGGCGGGGGCTGTGGGCGCGTTGGGCCATTCCTCTTGGACCTGAAATACAAAAAAATCATCAGCTTTTCCGAGCAACGGCCTAATCACATGGAGAAAGTTTGAGCATTAATCACCACACTTGCTCAAGTTGGGTTGGCAACTTCAAAATGATAATTTGAAATTTTACATCCAGATTTCCTCACAATATTTCCCTTCACTGTATGTTAGTGCTGTCTTAATACTTAGAAAGTACATGACTTAATAATCACACTGGTACATAGTAATGTAATAATAATTGTTATTATAACAATTTCTTTACTATAGTTTCATATAAACTTTAAACATTTGAAGTTCAAAATGTGCTTATATTAAAGTACACTCATAGCGAATACAACTTCACTTAAATACATTTTGCAGCCAAGTTGAATTTATAAACACAATCAATACAAAATTTAGCACAATACTATAAAAGAATTCTCATATAATTCTCTTGACTTATACTATTAGTCTTACAGAGGCATAAGGGACTGTAGATATGTATTGTAATAGTCTAAATAACTATTTTACATACCTGAGCAGCCCAGTCTTCCTTGGGTGGTGTGGCGGTGAAGGCCACAGTAGCAGCCGGTGCTCCGGGTGTATCATCAGCCCATACAGTCGGAGCCTCAACTGGCTCAACATACTCAACAGGAAGCACTGCCTCCTCAGCCTTAGCTGCTACGACAGCCTAATAATCAAAAAGTACATTAGATTTCTTCATAATCTACTACATAGTCTATATAAATGTTTATATATGTATTAAAATTGTCTTATACTAGTTTTTGCTGCAACTTAGTTTTTGACTTTGAACATGAGTTCAAATTGGCAGCAACATCTAGTTTCTACCATGCCATATAAAATACAGGTTGAACACTCAGGTACTGTATGGAATTCTATATTCACTCATGTCTTAAGTCGTACTACATGTAAGTTCCATAAAAAACTGTTAAGCAGTTTCAATGTGCAAGACAAACATCCACACAGTCATACTATCACATAGGTATATGACTGTAATATGATACTGTTATCTATATACTGTTATCTATTGTTCAACACCAACCTGTTCCTTAGCCTGTTGTTCCTCCTTCTCGCTCTCCTCAGGGTCTCTGTAGAAGAACAGATCCACAACAACATCCCACTTCTGGTCACGAGCGAGCACACCGCGCAGACGTAGAACCTCACGAGCCAACAGCCACCACATCAAACCAATAGAATGGGATGACTGGAATGATTTATTACAAACTTCATTATGTTATATGAGACATACCTTTATAACGTTTGAAGAAATATTACAGGTGTTCTAAGAAGAGACTATCTCACTACTAACTTAAGAATTTTTTTGTTTATTAATAGGTAATAGGCATTTTCTTAGCATGTTAATGACATATAGCTACATTCTATTAGGTAGAATATTAGCCACGTTATATCCAATGCTAAAGACCAATAGTCATACCTTAGTGTTGCAAGGGATGGCGATATCAACGAATCTGAGTGGGGAGTCAGTGTTGCAGAATGCAATGACTGGAATGTTCACATATGAAGCTTCAGTAATTGGTTGATGATCTTGAGCTGGGTCCAGGACAATCAAGAGACGAGGCTCACGGAAAGCGGCTTGGATCTGTACAGAGTTTATAGAATTAGAATACAAAAAAATATTAAGTTATTTAGGTTATGAGGTGTTGTAATTCAGAATAGTTTGTAATCATTTCTGCATAGCAGTCAGTGGTTCCTTAGTTATGATTGTCATCATGAAATATAAAACATTATTTAACATGTCTACATCAAAAGTAAACAGATTGTACTCATTTCTAGGATATTCCTGATTTTAAACTTTTATTAACCTGTATACAAACATATAACAGTTTTATGCTAACTATCCACTTTATTTCGTAATTTATACCTGGTTAGTGAAGGCACCGGGCGTGAAACGTCCAGCGATAGGTGTAGCTCCGGTGTGAGCTGCGAATTTAAGCACAGCACGTTGACCGAAAGGACGGGATGAAATCACGAAGATATCCGCGGGATTCTCAATAGCAACCACCGCACGTGCGGCCAGCACTAGCTTCTCCCATGTACGGCGAAGGTTGATGACGTGGGTGCCGTCAGCACGACGCTTGTACACGTAGGTCTCCATCTATCATACAAACTTTGTTAGTACTCATAGTTTAGATGAGCAAAATATAACATTGATATTAATTTCATCAGTTGGGAGAATTGATCGTCAAAATATTCAGACATATGATATGGAACGGGTTCTCTTCTCATCATATAAGGTATAACAATATGTGTAAATAACGTTCAAGGAATGCTTACCTGGAAGTGGACATTCTCGGACCCCAAATGGGTTGTCGCTGCCAACATTTTGGTTACATCTTCCTCGTTGAGGGCTAGTATGTCTAAACCTCCCGACATCGTTGCGTTTATTTGAGTTACGACTAAACCTAAAACACAAAAAGTGGCCGGTTATAGCAGATAGGTTAAGATCATGTACACTCCATATTATTATCTATTAACTAAAATATTTGAAAAAATACATTACATTTTCAATTTAATCTAATGCCAGTATCCTTTTTTGATCTATTTAAACTTAATCTGAAGTAAGATTCTTCAAATAAATAACGATTTAAAAGAAAATACTCACGCGTATAATGCCACTGGGAGACAGTTCGACTAAAAAGAATCTGTCAAATCTGACAATATATTTGCCTTCTTCTTCGATATCTGCTATACATGGCGAAGGTGTCAAATATTCAGCCAATGTTATGTCATGTACTACGCATTAAAATTTATTTATTATTCTTTAACTTTCCAAAATACATTTGTTTTATACTATAAAAAAATACCAAATACTTAAATATTCAATATTCAAAAGTTATTATAATAAATCTAAAATATAGGCATACAGTCAAGTTCGAACATCCAAAATACGTACTTGAGATTATTTTAAAATCAGAATTTTGTTTTCCAGGAGTGACATTAAGTAAAAAATATTTGCTATTCGAGTGGTAATTTTAAAACGGAATGTTTTGCAATATATACATAGATAATACACTATATTAGAAATATATTTAAATAATATAATATGTAAATAATATAATATGTATAATTTTTCAAATATTGCCATATAAAAAAGTAAGTTCATACAGTGATACCACCAACTAAACTTTACAATAAAAGAAGTAACCATTTTATGGCAACATTAAACTTTGTGCATTGAAATGTGAATGACTGATGTATAGTTGGAGAACGAATATAATTCCCATAAAATTTGTCGTGAAACAAAATTTTTATATTTCTCTGTTGTCCAATGCATACATTATGATTACTTTATTACCTTGACCTAGAGTGATCGTATGGTATTGTATACTTTGTGAGTTATTTCGGTAATCAGTGACATTAGTGTGAAGTGCCTAATTTGAACATGGAGGCTGTGGCAAAACACGATTTTACTGCAACTGCTGATGATGAGCTCAGTTTTAAGAAGAATCAGGTCCTCAAAGTAAGTTTTAACGCTGATTCCTGATAACGGGTTGTTAGTTTTTGTACGTGATAGATCCTTCTAGAAATTGTTTTTGCAGATACTTAATATGGAGGACGATATGAATTGGTATAGAGCCGAATTAGACGGAAAAGAAGGTTTAATACCTAGTAACTACATACAGATGAAAAGTCACAGGTTAGTCCCATTTTATTGATGATTTATTATGGTCGCAATTATACGTATCACATTCCCATGATTAATTTTTTGTCAACATTTTAGTTCAACTCAATATTTATTAATATTCGTAAAAATTCTTTACGTCACAATTATTAATTAATTTGAAAACTTTCTCTGTTTATTGATAACTTATTTCCATATAAAACTCCATTCACAATTTCAATGAAGTGATAAGTTTAAATATGTTTTTAATTAAAGCATTCACCTCTGTGATAATGTTTAATTAATATACACCAACCTTTCAAACTTTAAATATAAAACATAAAAACCCAAGAACATTTTAACAGAAATAATGCTTATTTATTTTAATTTTCATAATAACCAGTCATTTTAATGAAAGTAAATGAAATTGTAGATAAAATTAAGAATATCATTGTTTCAAGTTGAATTACTATTAAAACTCATCTAATGAGTTTATTATTTAAATATTTCATTATGGTATCCTAAATTTACATATAATATAAACCTTATAATTTTACAAATTCTATTTTTTTATTGTTATAATAATTTTCTTATTATATTATATGTTGTAGCTGGTACTATGGTAGGATCACAAGAGCTGATGCCGAGAAACTGTTAGCAAATAAGCCCGAAGGTGGCTTCCTCATTAGAATCAGCGAGTCAAGCCCTGGAGACTTCTCACTATCAGTCAAGTGAGTAATATTTAATACATATTAATAAAATTACTTATTAATAATTGAAACTTCTACCTCATATAATAATTTAATTATATTTATATGAATTGATGAATAGTTTATTTCATTAAGAAAACAAATCTAGTGTTAGTTTTGTGAAATTTATATAGTGTTTAATATAACTGGCCACATTTCTATGAATGTATATTAAAATCTCTTAAATACTGTTGTCATTATGATTCATTATTATCATTCATATTCATTAATAGTACAATCTATTAATTCTTATAATTATAAAACAAAATATTATGAAATTTTATTTACATATGTAGCTCTTGAAAGTAGAAACTACTTATCAGATTTTGATTAAACTTTTAGTAATTTAGCTTGCAATCGAGCATTAGTTATAGAATATCATTTATCCTGAAAATCTCTATAGTTACTGTGGGATCGTGGTATAAGATTTGTATTGTATATATAGACTTAGCTGACAGTTGAACACAATACCTATTTTTTAATACTCATAATATATTACTCTGAGTTCAATTTGTAAGTTCATGAGGACAAAGTTGTGGTCAACAACTAGTCATTCATTGTTTACAAAACAAAGTATCAATTACCCAGAAAGCTGATAAGAGCAACAAATGTTGTATGTATAGTTGTTAATGGGCTTTTCATCATAACATATTTGGTGAAGTTCCAAATGATTTGTTTTCTTATTTATCTTGTTAAATCTTTAGTAAATAACATTAAATGTCGATATGATATAGTATTATCATAATTGTCTTAGAATTAGTTATTAAAAATTATTTTCCTGAAGTAGGTAAATGTAGAGATATGGAAATATATGGAAAGCAAATTGTCAATGACTTTATATTATTTTTCTAAGAATTATTACTATTTATATGAAATTAAATTCTTCTCATATACGATTTATTTTAAATAAATAAATGCTAAATTAGATTTACTATATAAGGATAAAAAAGACTCTTTGAATTAAAAACCTAGAAAATGAATTTAAAATAAAGATGTTATCAAGACAACTATGAGAAAGATGTAACAAATGTTCCATATTGCTTGTTATAAAAGTAATTTGATATCAGAGGTCATGATATAAATAACATGAACTAGTATGGAATGTATTGTTCATAATAATAGATTTAAATGACCATTTTATATTGAACTCTATATTAGACTGAACTAAGTTAAAAAGGAACTATTTGCTATAATTTCTTCAGATATATGCCGGTTTCATTGAATAGCAAGTTGAATAATAAAACTGTTGGAAGTTATGACTAGAAAAACTCACTCGGTGGGATATAACTTCATTAGTATGGATATTCTTATTGCTTAATACAGAATTGAGCTGTTATAAATATAGGCACATCTCTTTACATATATACACATATATGTATACGAAAATTATTAATTCTAAATAAGTTAGGGCATAATTGTTACAGTCTATTAATCTTTATTTATAAGAAATGTGTTTATGCCGAAAAGCTTCTATGACATAGTTACTATATAGAAACAATTGTCCTATTACTATGAAGATTCGTTTTATAATTTATATATTCTATTGGGTATGTAATTGTGCTGTAAGTAAAGAATGTTAACAATTAAGGAAAATTATACATATATCACTATCGAAAAATATGAAAATCCAGAGACAATAGCCAAATTTTATTTTATATACAAAAATTTTAGATAAAAGCTTTATTTGATGACTTAAAAATTAAAATAATATAATAAGGTGAAGACAAGTAATTTTAATCAACAAATAATAACTTGAATAACATAAAACATTTAATATCCCCAATAAAGTCATAATAATTATTTCTATCCATTCAATTCTGTTAGTTATTGGTTAATTAATTGTTATTCGATCGTTCAACAACAAATAAACATTTCCGATGTCATTGTATCAATTGAAATGTCATAACTGACAATCATAAAGCGATTATACCATAAACAATGGCCACACGGCGTCTCTATCTTGTCTATGAGCGCATATATCCTAAAGGTGGCACTTCACTTGGCATTTATTTGTTATGTTCAGCCAAATAAGACCATATATGGATTTATTCGTCTTTATTTGACATATTTGCACAAATAAGACACATACACTAATAAGCGAAAACGCGTAAGGACATTATTGGCATGCCAAGTGTGGATGTCGTGTTTGCGCTATTTGTACAAATATTTGGAAATACGGCGAATACGTAACAAGTGAAGTGCCACCTTAAGATCGAGTTCATAGTATACCATAGCTTTCTTTTGATAATTAATTAAGGAACTGGTCTTGCTTGTTAAGTTGTATATCATGTAGATTTACTTGCGATAAAAATTTCACCTGATATTATGGGCGTAAATATTATACGGTTTTTATGTTGAATTTATTATACTAGAGTTTGTCTTGATTCGCTTCGGAATTAGATTGGAAAGTAAAGTTAGATATAGAGTTAGTAAAATAATTTTCAATGAACAATTCATGTTTTATATATAGTCATACGGAATAGAAACATATCTAAATCTAGAAAAATTTTCTTCAAACTTTGTTTATATGTTTAAACTTAAATATAGTAAAGTTGTATTAAAATTCATTCAATTATTTGATCGTGGATGGATAACAAACACAAAACCCATCTCTACAACTATCGAGACAGACGTTTAAAGGAAAAATATATACATATCAATGTAAATGGTACGTTTGTTTGTAATATCTAAATACAAATTAAATTACTATCACAATTATCCTATACACATTTTTCTGCTTAAAATAGCTGAACATATGTCGATTAAACTATGCTCTTTATCATCAGTTAATCAATATCCAATGAAAGACGAAAAAAATACAAAAATAAATTCAAAAAAACAAATTATGGAGTGCACGTATTTGGTAGTAAAAATTAATTAATCTGACTATCGAGAAGAGTACGTACGTGGGTAGATATTATATTAAATGACCAGAAAGGACATTTTTAATATGTCCTTATAACTTCACCTTTGACATATGAACGTGACTAGATCCGGGATTATAAGATCCCGGGTCCAATCCCGGGATAGGAATCCAATATCCATATACCGAGGTGATTTCTTTGGCCTTATTTCATAAGTATAATACGTTACTCATAGTATAAAATGCGAATGGTCGTCATTTTGTTTGGATTAATTGTGTGTATAATTATATTGAAAAATATCTTAGAAACTATCAAAGGATTAAGTAATGTTGTTACAGCAGCATTAAATTTTTTGTCTACGTGATAATTGCATCATAATAAATTGAGGATTTTTCGATCTATATCAAAACTACTATAGATATCATCAGTGGCCATTTAACTATATATGTACATATGTGATTAAACATGTTTCTGTCCATGCAATGTCTTAAAATCACACGGACACGTACTAAATAAAATATATATTTAAACCCAGTTAAAACACAAGGAAAACGCTATAATTATAAAGTATTTATTACAATTGTTAAATAAATATAACCAATGGTAATATTAGAAAAAAACTGTATGTGAGTCAAGTCGATCTCGTTTCGTTCTCCGACGTATGTATTTCGTCTTCCTGTGACTCATGTATTCTTATTTATTATTTGATGGCTGTATATAACACGCTGTTAGGGTGATTTGTTATATTATTTGAGGTCATTGATCATTTGACCTTATGTGTCCATGAGAATTGATTTTCATATAGGATTTCGTGATAGAGAAAATGTGATCGGACTTCTTATATGCTGTTGGGTTGATGTTTTCATAAATTTTTGAGAATATCGTATTAGACAATAAAAATTTGATTTTTATTTTGTTGTTAAACTGATAGTTCACAATAAATTTTCATCCTTTATCAGTTTACAATTGTTTTTTATGAAATCTTGTATATTTCGTATTAGAATATAAAAAAATCGATCTTTATATTTTATATCCCTTATCAATTTATAATATTTTTTTATTTCCAGTAATTATCAATTTTCCTTCTTTTATATTCCTTATATATGGACTAACCATTAACCAATCTACTATTTACGTCACGGTCGATGGTATATACGATCGTAACGACGTAATTCTATACGTTACTCCGTATAGCATATCATCTTTGTCAATAGATTCGGTTCGATTCAATAGGACCGTCTGCAAATATTTGAATACGTGCTGAATGTCTGAGTGTCAACGAGTTATATAAACACTGTGTGTAGCCTCAAGCCAGTGATGAAAATGTTTTTATATATCTAATACAATTCTGGCAGTATAAATAAAAAAGAGGTTTTAATCAACCTAAATATAAAACCTTTTTTAATTGGCTGGATTTATCATGCAATGATAGAAAATAAAAATAAAAAGGAATTTTAGATATATATAAAGCTGAAAATAAAGCTCTCTAGATTTGTTATACAAACGTGTGACGTAATGACGCAAATGTAAATATACAAAGATGTTTTATATGAAAATTAATCGCAAACTTAGTATAGTAGCTTGATATATAAATAATTTTTCATATATTTTTCCAAAGTCGTTAACCCCGCAGCGTGTAATGCTGTTGCTATGAGTCAACTTACGTTCAGCTAGAACCAGTTTTTCGTCTATCTGTGATTCATAAGTTATTCAGTCGCCTGCCATCGATTTATAAACAGATATAAAAAGAAAGTGATTAATACGTGCCTATATAGAAATAACAAAAAAACATACATTGTCTACGATGTGTAGTTTTACTTGGTGAAATAAATCGCACATATGTATGATTTCTGATGTGACCAATAATACGAGACAATTGTAATGGAATATGTTTGTAATATAATAAATTAAGCACTATTCATTTGCATTTTTTACTTGTCGATAATAACTTCGCATTAAAAAAGAAAGGTGAAGAACTTTGCTAAATTAAATATACATATGAGTCTAAACATACATATTACTTAATATAATTGCACACTAATAAAAAGATAATAGAAATAAAAAATGAAGCTTTTTTAAGTCATGCATTGTTTCAACAATTAGGTATTCTGGTAAATTACTTCTTCGTCCCAAGGGGAAAGAAAGATCGTCAAGATGATTGTTTTGATGAGATCTGATTTGTGTGATTTTTGAAAAAGGTAAGAGTGTGACTTGCTGAAAAGTGTGAAACGCGTTTAAGTTGTGAGAATTTCCCTGTTGTTTACAAACACTTAGCAGGAAGTGGATCTCTTAGGATAGAGAATAATTGATACAAATATCTTGATAGGCATTTATTTAAGCTGAGAGTGATATATAGATTATCGTCGAAAAGGATTTCTGTGCTGTTTTGAGTCGGCTTGCTGTATTCACTGTCGCTACTAGCAAGCGTGATGATTAATGCCCAATCCTTCTCCATGTTAGAAGAGGCCATTGTCCAGCAGTGGGCTCTGATAGGCCGATGACAATACAACAATACTATCATGCACTTAAGGCACTTTTCATTGAAGGACGCAGAATACGACATCAATATCTTCAGGAAAAGCGGCTGTGGAGATTTTAATTACATCAGTGTACAGATAATAAGAGCAGACGAAATCTTACCAATGCAATTGATAAATACAAAAAGATAGGAATAAAGTATACCGCCTCGTCAAATCGCACCAATTTGAAACCGTACTATGAACAGCGTATAAGCGTTTTGTATCTTCAACAATATAAGTGCATTTGTTGCTCAAATATTTTAGCCACTCCAGTTAACTTTGTATAGATTGAGCTTAGTCGCGGTTAGCACCACCTAGTCTCATCATAACGAAGTTTACTAATCCATGGCTTCTGACTTATTACTATGAGTAGTATTATAAGGAAGACTGTTTGTATGATGTATCCAAGCTCATAGGAAGGTGATGAAATATTCAAAAGCTTATTGTTCAAGTTGTGTGATGTATTTAAAAAAAGATAAACCAGTGTGACCACACGATTGAAGTTAAACTTCTTTCGATCCATCTATATGTAATATGTTTATATATGTATATACATTAATTTTGTACAAATATTTGAATTCATTATGGGTTATTTATAAATTAATATTTTTAAACATATATTTCTTTTAATTTATTAATTTCATTACATTCATCATCGTATACATCAATGATTATTTGGATTAATTTATGGTCGAGACTTTTGCATAACAAACATGTCTTGAGCAGTATTCATTATTTCAACTAGTAATATTCTTTCATCCACGATACGGTATTAAATATTATTTATTTTGTTTGTTGTACATAAGTAACGTCTAATTGACATGTGCTATACTCTAAATTGTCTAAGGGTACATTTTCTTGTAATCAATTCCAAAACATTTAGTTCATTCACAAATGACGTCTCTGTTAAATATTAAATTTGATATGCACATACATGATGTGATGTGTTTTCTATTGTTCGATTGTTTAAGTACAACTCATGATTTCATAACATGTAAACATTTGACTGACAAATGTAACATCTATTAAATAATAACTATTATCTCATTGACGTAATATGTCTATAGAAAATGTAACAAAAAAATATGCATAGTATATGTTTCAGCATTGTACTATAAAGAATGGGTTCAAATTATCATTAAATATATTTACGGTAAAGACAAATGTATGTAAAATAAATATTTTAATACGATGTTACTCGTTATATATAGAATGCTCTTATTATTTTTTTAATCAGCTTCTATTAATTCGACTTGAAGATTTAAGACCCATCTATCTTAATTTGCACCGTACAGATTAATTGACGGTTTTAATTAATGAAAAAACAATTGAATCGACGAGACGAGTTTTTTTTTCCATTTAAATTTCCGTACATATATACAAATTAATTATATATACATATTAAAAATAATTTCATCTTTGTTATATTTGTGATGTTTTAAATGTATAATTACTTTATTCTTATTTTTCATACTTATACATATATGAAAACTTCAATTATCTGACTATCATGATTCATGATGGACAATCAAACGATAAAGTCTTATTCTAACTCTAATTATGAAACCCAAACAAAAAAATATATATGTACTTACTAGAAGAAGAAGTATCGCCTTATAATCAAGAAATATCTGTTACGTTTTTTTATTTATATTTTTGGAATTTACCTATTAAAGCCTTAAATCTCCGTGTTTTGAAGTGCGACAGAATGATTGACATTTTAGTTAGTTGTCAAATCTAATGTAAAAAAAAAAACGTTTATATCAACAACTACTAATGAATTAAAAATTAATTAAAAAAACATTATCCAGCGGACAAAATTGTGGATCTAAACCATTCCCAAATTCCCTTGAACACATACAAAAAATTTCATCAAAATCGGTCCAGTCGTTTGAGAGAAGTTCAGTGACATACACACTCACAGAAGAATTATATATATAAAGATTTCCAACTCCATTATAGATGTCCGGACGGCGTCCAACACTTCAAGGTCCTAAGGGACGCTTCCAGCAAGTTCTTCCTGTGGGTGGTGAAGTTCAATTCACTGAACGAGCTGGTCGACTATCACCGCACAGCCTCGGTCAGCCGTCTGCAGGACGTGAAGCTGAGGGATGTGGTCCCTGAAGAGGTACGTATATGTATAATAAACACACCTGAAAATATATGTAGTAGTCAATGTTCTTCTTTATAGCAATTTCCCAGCTTTAGCCATCTGCATATGTTGTACTCAATATTAGGATATAATGACCATTTATTGGTGGTGAAATTTTGGTGTTATTTAATTTGTTACGTGTTAAAATTTTCCAATTTAGTTCGTAGCTGTTCATTCATAGATCTACTTTGTTTCGTTCATATATTTATTTCATTGATACTATCATTATGTAAGTCTACTTAGTTACACGATGTAAAATTGTAACAAGCTCATTATAATATGGGCCTATCACTAAGTAGAGTTTAGACTTGGTTCAGATAACGACAACTCATTGTTTTTTTATAGCTAGCTTATAGAACGATCTTCGATATTTTTATATAGGGTGAAGATTTGTCTTAACAATAAGGTCGGAATACAGGAAGGTTGCCATTGTATACGATTAGTTTCAAATCACACACCTGAAGTGCCATTTTTTTGTCATAATATTTTTTCTCACTTGTGATGACGTCAACTATTAACGCAAAGATATTTGAATCACATATTTTTGTAGTTTCTTTCGTCACGAATTAATATAAAGAAAATCATTTAAACATACAAATATCACACTTGCTACGTTCGGTAAACACATAATAATAATAATTATGGCTTGTATGTATGTACCGTAATCCTATTATAATTTTATCATAAAAAATCTCTTAAAAGTTACTATGGTTTTGTCAATCCATACCGCGTGTCCAAAGACCATTTGCCAAAGATCTAGATGAACAGCCTAAATTCGTGTCTCAAACACTAATTGTATTCTACGACCTCGCTTAATTTGATTAATAACAGCCGCGCCTCATTTAATGTTCCAAATATGTTGACTAAAAGATTAAAGGAGACTAGCTTTCGCCCGCGTGGAGTTCGGTTATATCGCGTATCCAAGAGAACCTTTCAAAAGTCTGGAATAAAAACTATCCTAAGTTCTTTCTCAAGGTCAACCCCATCTCTGTAACAAATTTCATTAAAATCAGTTCAGTGGTTTAGGCGTGAAAGCGTAACAGACAGACAGAATTACTTTCGCATATATAATATTAGTAGGGATTGTATTATGAAAACATTAAAAATAGATTTTTGAGATATACTTTATCGTAAGGTCTAAACAAATTTTTCACTATAAATATCAGTTCATACATATGTACTAAGTATCTCAAATCAAATATCTAACGAGATTAAATCTTTATAACTACCGAATTCCCTTCATACAAGACATTCAGCCGCGACCCTGGCCGGCGAAAATAACTACATTCATGTCTGCAGTTAGATAGTGCCTTTGTAATGGTTACGTTGAACGTGTAATATGTACTAGTATTTATAGATATCGTTTATTTTACGCCAGATACGACGTATGATTGGATAGCTGGTAAATTTTTTGCTATAGAACTAGTAGTTTACTGCAGTTTTGCTTCAAGAGATTTTAAGATTAATTTTGGTTCCATCGAAGTTGGACCTTATGAAAAAAAATCGCTAGTGTATATAAAAGTAGTAGTTTTCAATAAAAATATATATTATTACTAGTAATGTATAAACATTATTAAAGGCATTAGTTAGTACAAAAAAACTCAAACTATTTAGAACTAAAAAAGCGTATATATATATTTAGAACTAAAAAAGCGTATATATATTCATCAAATCATAACACTCCTATTTCTAAGTCGGTAAACCTAAATAATTTCACAATTTCAATATATTTATATTTTTATATATGAACTTCTACATTTCTATACAGAGAAATCTTTAAAGAATTCTAGTTAGAATGTAGAGTAACTGGCTTTCCCAATTTCCGTTCAGTAACTAAACGGGGTTTTCCAATACGAATACAAACTCTGTGAAATGCTATTAAAATAACTTTGATATAAAATTTGTTCTAAATATATTCCCGATAATGTTATGATGCGTGAATTTCTAATTATATCGTATTTCGTATTTGTAGATAAAACTACAACCAACCAACACATATATAAACTTATTAGTTTATTACATGGGAATTGATGTGAAGCCTTTTGTATAAAAATATAATAGTAGTATAATAGTGCGTACATTCTCAAAAAGACTTCCAAATCTTGTCAATAGAAATAAAAACCTTGGCATACTACATACTTTTTATCATATCCGCATTAATTTATTAAATTACATCGTTTAACGCAATCAATTCATTAAATTCCAGATGTTGGTGCAGGCGTTGTACGACTTCACGCCTCAAGAGGCCGGTGAGCTGGAATTCCGCCGCGGTGACGTCATCACCGTCATCGACCGCTCCGACCAGCACTGGTGGCAGGTGAGCATAAACAGTATACAACTTGTATATGTAGTGTATGTATCTATACAATAGATATAATACACTGTCTCACGTACCCCACTGGAGGGGGTGGCATGCGCTCGGCAGTCTCACGACTAGCTCCGAGCAGAACGGGACGTTCGTCGCTCTAGGCGGGGTAGTAGTGAGCCAGTAACTAGTTATACTTACATGTAGGACCAGGGATCCTCTAATTAATACTAGTAAACAATATTAAACTGACAGTATAAAGTTTTGCGTCTATAATTCTTACTATCACCATGATAGTAAGAGTAGAGTTGGTTCAATTATTCACATTCCATGGGTGAAATTGTAAAATAATTGGAAGTATATAAAATGTGATATATGTTCATATATACAAAAACATACTTAAGTATTTTTTTACACTTAAATTTGGTAACATTGCCTCATTAGTATTTCTATTTAGTACAACAATTAAAGTATTTGCATACCCCTTTGTAATTTTTTGATACATTGGACATCCATACATACATGATTTACATACATTTAACATTGTAAGAGGAATATGTATATTAAAAATGTAACATTTATTTAATCCATTAAAAGCGAGAGATATATTATTTACCGTAATATTCTTAATCAGATCCCATTTTCTAATAAATATTTTTTGCTAAACACTTCTTCCTGGCAACAATTTTTGTTATTTTTTTTTTTTTTGAGATGGTAACAAAATTAACTTATAAACATTTGGTATATTTAATCTAGTAATCATATAACAATAAAGTATTCAGCAATTATTTTTTTTATATAGTTTTAATACATTAAATGTGTTTCTATTATTCCAGGGCGAGATCGCTCACCGGCGCGGCTTGTTCCCGGCCTCCTACGTCACAGCCTACCACTCATAGTGACATATCAGATATCATCACCTGTCAACACCTGTCATCACTTGTCATCACTTGTCATCACCTGTCATCACCATTTATTCCTATACGTTCTAATGTCGACGTCAATTACACTATGTAATTGTTATACAAACATATTGTTTTTCGTCCATGGTGCTTAAATCACTAAATGCGCCTTCACTAGTGCTAGTACAAAAAGTAAAGATGTTTTTGTTTGACGAATTTATATCACACGGATGTTTTTATCTGGTCGATTGTTTTGTTTCAATACTGTAATGACCTACTATGACAAGAATAGTTTATAAGACGTGTACTATCCAACTGAATTAATTAATATTAAATTTCCTCTATGATATACATATTCGACTTTACAAACAGGCTCAATATATAAAGCGATCGATTGGACACGCCAACTTCGTCCGCTAAACGTGCCAGAATGTTATTTTAGATTTCTTTATAATTAATATATATTATGTTTAGTGAAGCAGTGAACAGCCGCGGTAAGAAAATTACTGTACAAGTGATTTTATTAAAGGAATAAACATTTGGACCATTATTTATCCACATTAGTGCATAATGAGGTTTCTTTTGAAAAAAAAAAACGTTTACACACATATATTTAAGGCGTAGTTACTAAGTTTTTTGGTTTTTTTTATAATTTCATTATCGCTATATAATAAATAGTTAAAATGTATCGAATGTAGCGTCCCCGGGCTTGTATCTTCCCGGCCGGGTGTGCGGGCTGGGGCCAACTGAAAACTCCTAAAATCCTTACAAGACTTCGCCTTAATAACCACGTGATATAACTAGTTCCGGCCCCAGGCTATCAACATCCGGTCCATAGATTAAGGCGTTGTGTTTCGCACAAACGTTGAATCAGGCAATAATTTTTCTATATAAACGTGTATATTGCAAGGCTTTTGATGTGTTCTATATGATTTTGAATGGATATTTGTTACCCGTTTTAGTGTTTGTCATTAATTTTTTTTACATGAAGAATATATGAGCGTCAATATATTAAAAAAAAATTAACGTGATAACGATTTAGTGTAGAGTATTGACACTCGACGAGTGTCGGCGTACTTAGCTAGCGTTTAAAACAGATAGTCAAAAGAAAATCGATGATGAATAAGAAAAAAATTTGAAATAACTTTGAGTGCTCGTTAATCCAATGTAGATATTTATTTTTGTTAGTAATGAAAATGGAGGTCTTTTGAAATTACCCGTAGTATAATGGTATGAGCAAAGCATTTAACATTGTGCATTATTGATAATGGCACATGTGATGGTCGGATCTGCAGTGTTTCGCTTGTGGCAAGTCTTTTTTTTATATAAATAAAGTGCTATAATCTATTATAATCAAATATTTAAATAGTTAAGTTATGATTCTCCAATATTGTGGAAGATGTATAATATTTTTTACTAATAAATTTAATATTGTAACATTTGTTTTTATTACTCCTTATAAATACATGACCTGATAAATCTTCTTCTTCTACCTGGTACTTTCCCAGCTTTAGCCAGGGTCTGCCTTACATGATGTGAATAGTTTTGGCCAATTGTATTTTACGACCGGCCGCCTGCCTGACATCAACCATCTTTGGGAATACATTAATCGGTGATGTCTAAATAATCTTAGAAAGTACATATGACTCGGAAAAATCACATTGGTACTTGCCAGGATCGAACCCGCGCCCTCGAGCATGAGAGGCGGGCCTTTTAACCACTAGGCCACCAGTGACTATAATATGACCTGGTCAAGTTTAAATAAAATGCAATATGCAACAATAAATAGTTTAATGCATCTAAAAAGTACTAACAACATCACAGTTTCCCCTAAACTACAGCCAATACAATAAATAATAAGTAACATATAATATTAAATTTTTAACATAATTTGAACAGTTAAATCTCATATATTCATAGAAAGACATATGAGATTAATATTTTTTTTATATATTTTCCAAGCATTACACATTTCTTTATTAAATTACACAAAAAATATACTTTATAAAGCATTATTATTCAACATTTTAAAAAACAGTTATAAATGTTGCCAGTGACCGGCTCTTGATAATAATGTATAAACAAAAAGATTAATATAAAATTTATATTTTATATTGCACAGCCCTTATATTTATCATCTGAACGTTTACAACAGTATAAACAATGTACAATAAAAAAAACAATCAAATATTTATAAAGCCATTGTTTGTAAAGTACCATTGTATGTAATCTATTTTATTGCTTATGTATATTGGTCTTAATATTGTAAATAATTTGTGCCGTCCATGTTTGTTATTTTATACAATTTTCTTTATAGTTTAATAACATTCTTACGACTTGATCGAGATGATAAAATCAAACAAAGCTACATCTAAAGCTGATAATACATTTAAAAGGTCTTTCCTCCAATAGCTAGCATGATGTTTTCAAACGCCACCCAATTTATAAGAGCCCAGGGTCCGAGACGCATCCACAAAGGGAGAAAGCCTTTATATAATGACAATACTCCTTCGTTTTTCACAGATTGTTGTAAACAATCGATCATACCGCGGTACAAAGTGCCTCTGAAAACAAAAACATAATATACATTCTATGTAAACATTTCTCTGAAGCTAACAATGATAAATTATTAAAAATTCAATTCTCTGAATTATGGCCTTCAAATCAACAAATGTTTTAAATAATAAATGAAATACACATTCGTTTCTGACAATCGAATGAACCATACAAAATGACAGGTTGATTTGACAATGAGTTTAAGTGAAGTACAAAACTTTCTCTGTCATTGATGAACCTTACGGTTTACGTTCTAGCGATCTCATTTGAATCGAAAGTGAAAGGTGCGACTACATTGAGCTCGCGCGTGTTCCGACTTTGACCCCGTTGTTTGACCTCGACCCTACAACCTGCTACTGTTTAGTTGTTACCCAAGTACAGCCCACCGCCCACATTCACCCACTCGTCGACTCTAGAACGCGCCCGCGGAATAATGAAAGAAACTTCACTAAAACGGACAGAAAATAACAATACCGTTATGTAGGTCAATGGAACAATTGATTGAATCATGTTTCAAAGAATCCGAGCCGCGGCTAACCGCTGATCGGAATTGGGTTATTATGATAACATCGCGCAAGCAATTTTATGCCCAAAAGAAGCGACAATGTAAACAAATATTTTAAAATCAGAATAATAAAACATAAAACTGTATTTAACCTTTGTTACGTAAAAAATTAACACATAAGAAAAGTATACAATGTCGTCTGATTAATTGTTCACAGTTTTTTATTACGTTATTAATGTCTACTCGGTTAGAAACTATTTAAAGGGGATAATATTGTAATGGATGTCACACGGCTTTTGCGTCATTGTAATATTTAGCATTCATTCAAAAAGCCTTTGTTGCGCAGCGGTATATTTCCTAGCGGTAATTTCGTTTATTTATATTTCTGTCCATATTTTTAGTAAACATATTTTATTCTGTTAATATCCGCATATATATACAGGCTGACTGGTGAATTACTATCGATATTTGAGGACGTGATATTTGACGATCATATATGACAAAATAAAAATTAATATAACATAAATATTAATAAACTTCTAAGTAAAGTTAACCAAAAGTTATGTAATTAATTACGCCTCGTGTGAACACCCTACAGATTAGGTATACACACACACATACACACACACACACACACACACACACACACACACACACACACACACGCGCGCGCGCGCGGCGGCGTGTTGTTGTATCATAACGCCGCCGCACGCGTCCACACTTGGAATGTGTACACACTTTATTTATTTATACGGAAATTTGGTTAAAAATTAAGTACCTATTTTTTTTACATAATTCGAATGAGAATCATGTACCGAGTATGCTCCTTAAATATTGATAGTAATTCACCAGTTACCCTGTATAATACAAACTAAAACCTATCGCAACTCGATGACATTTACATTGACAATCGTCATTCGTAATTACAATCAACGGATTTTGATAGTAGACTTCGTATGCATTTGCGAAATATATACCTAAGGACGCGCCACTAACCAAAGAGGAAGAAGGATGAAAATATTAAAAAACGACTATATAAGAAGAATGCGTATGAGATATTTTGAGTATTTCGTATTATTTGCATACTAACCTTCCATCGGCTCCCACGGGTTGGTTCATGAGCCTCGTTTTAATGACATCCGCGGGTGTTCCCATGACGGCGGCCACGAAGCCCGCAGCGAAGGCCGCGGCGGCGTGCACCAGCGGCGTGTCCTTCATACCGACCTCCCGCAGGAGGAACTGCTTACAACAGTCGTAGGCCGCGAGGTCGCCCATGTTGACGAGCGCCGCGCGCTGAACGTTCGGTACCGCTCCTTAATATGTTAATACTATTTAATATACTATTAAGTTTTATTAATCGTTCATTCATTGAAATACGATGTTTTTTAAAGATTATTTTATGTAATGACATCTAAGATTTTCGCGAGTTTTATTCATTTAAATTATACTAATATTTTTCTAAACGTGGTCACGGTTGCTGTAAAGTAGCCGAAAAGTCGGGAGTATGTAGTTTTTATCAAAAATAAAGTCGCGTATTTTATGTACTTTATTTTTACTTAATCAAACAACAATGTCAATATTACATATATGTCCTAAACCCACCTCTCCAAAACCCTAATATTCCTGACTGTGTATATAACAGACTGTACACTTGTCGACAGTTCTTGAATCTCTTCGGCCGGCCCTGCAGAACACGCCGCCCCTCAGCCTGCATCTGAACCTTCACCAGGTCTGTGGGGGAAGCTATCAGCTGCGCCAACGACCCGGCGGCCAGACCGCCTGTACATAATATAAAATATATACTTAGAACTTATGAAGACGAATAATATTTGTCTTATTTAAGATAAGAATCTGGATGTGACCGGGAATAGAAATATTGTAATTAAGTATTGTTCAATATTTTACGACTACCCAATGTATGAAATACAGTGGATTTCTGTTTAAAGTTGACTGAGCGTGATCCTTCGATCATTTAATGTCCTAACTGTAATTTTCTATAGTATAGAAGTCTTACTAATAATTACTAATCCTTGAATTTTATTTTATTTACCTAGAATAGATTACTTATCGTGCATGCATGAGCAAAGTATAATAACGCTTTCTGTTTCTTTGAATGAATCTTTGTGCATTATTAATGGCCTTTGAGCACTTACTCGTATGCTAACCACATGTTTACACCGACAGAATACATATGAAAATTCAGTCTCTTATACAATTAATACTATAATGTGCGAATTCGTGAACGGGAAACTAGTGGAACTTGTGGTAAGGCTATCGTAGTATGTACGAAATAAAATTCTTTTCCTTACTCTGTAATAATAAAATAAAAATTCCTGGGAAGTGTCAACCAATGAAAGAACATACGTAAATAAAAACAAAATAATTGTCTCCGCGACAATTTACTATGAGTCAGAGCCCGTACCACGTGTGTCATTGTCACACGATACACACTTATTATTCATTAATATGTCTACATTAATGCCGTCGAGTGTCGAGTTTAATCGAGTCGACGTGAGGATACAAACTCACAGACTCGTGGTAGGGGTGAAGCGAATGGCGACCAGATGTTCGCAATATTGTGTTAACATGTGCGATGATTACAAGAAACGATGTAAATGGCCTTATGTTTGTTACTTTATATATATGTAATATGAATTAACAATTTCAAAATATCTATACTAATATTATAAATGCGAAAGTAACTCTGTCTGTCTGTCTGTTACGCTTTTACGCCTAAACCACTGAACTGAATTTAATGAAATTTGGTACAGAGATAGAGTTGACCTTGAGAAAGAACATTGGATAGTTTTTATACCAGACTTTTGAAAGGTTCTCTTGGACACGCGATATACCCGAACTCCACGCGGGCGAAGCTGCGGGCGGAAAGCTAGTATTATATGAATTATTTATTCTAAGTCAGCATCTCAAAACATACTAAGTCCTTAGTATGAACGTAGGTCATTGTATGTAAAACGCTAAACGTATCGTGTGTAGTGTTGAACACTTAAAAATTATATTTTGCGTTCAACCTTGAGTATAGAGATCGCCGACCTCCGCTATCACATCTGATATAATTGCTATCTGTTTGGTTTTGAGATATTATTGTTTAAAAATAAATTCTACAATAATAACAAAATTTCATATACTCATACTAAGTATGGTTATAATAAGAAAAGAGGCAAAGATACGAAAAGTACTAATGTATTGTTCACTAATTTATTAATTATTGAGAAGTCAAACGATAAATTTCGATGTAATATTATGTAGTCACAGATTAATTTATTTATATTAGGTATTAAAATTGTTTTAATAACTATGAAGGTCATATATTTATTACGTGAAATTACATAACAATCTTTTAATTATATTTTTATTTCAAAACTAAAAACAAATAACAAAAAGTATAAAGCCACTATTCGAATATTATAGTAAAGAAATAATTATATTTCATTTTATTTAACACGTACGTACTATCTACAAACGAATTGCTCTTGACCAATCTATTTCCGAACATAAATTGCGTAATGACAGTGACAGTTAATGCGTATGCAATTTGTAAAACTATTTGGATGTTATGCAACGCGAATCAAGTGACACAATAACCTTGGATATATTAAGATTATTATATAACAGTGCAAGTAATATATATTACTTTAAAATCTAATACGTGCATTCTAAATTGATTTCTATTTCTTTAAAAATAAAAGTGAGTTTTGTTTGATATTAAGTGAGTAATTGAAAAGCTTACCGATAGAAGCGACGGCCAACGAGACCTTTCCGGTGTCATCTTTGAACGCGTTTCTGAATTGTTCGTAAAACACGAGTCTACAGCCAGAGTAGATTGCGTGTCTTTGAAACATAGGAACCAATCCACTCCATAATTTAAGTACACCTTCTTGTTTTGCAATCCCTATAGCTGTTTTCACCATTCCATGGTTTTCAAGCTATAATAAAACACATTTATAAGTATTACGTCAATTTAAATACAATAAATCTTTATATATATAATTCTTCTGTGAGTGTGTATGTCACTGAACTTCTCTCAAACGACTGGACCGATTTTGATGAAAGTTTTTGTGTGTGTTCAAGGGGATCTGGGAATTGTTTAGATTCACAATTTTGTCAATGTTTTTTTAATTAATTTTTAATTTATTAGTAGTTGTTGATACAAACGTTTTTTTGACATTAGATTTGACAACTAACTAATATGTCAATCATTCTGTCGCACTTCAAAACACGGAGATTTACGCTATTTTCACATTACACGATTTTGCTCGTGCGGGAAAAAATTGCCCGATTTTTAATCGTGGTTTTACTACTTTCACATTGAACGATAAAAATCGTACATTTTTATTAGTTCATTGGAACATTTGGTCTGGTCTGGATGAAAGTTATGGATCGCGAACAAGTTATTGCGTTATGGATACTGTATCGGCGTCGGAAAAGACAAAGGCGCAATCGCCTTCACTGGATTCACCCAATTAATCAGAGACGAGAGGAACTCGGGATGTTCCACACATTATTTGAAGATCTTAGAAACGATGACCAAAAGTTTTTCAACTACTTTCGTATGTCAGTTCGCTCCTTTGATGAGTTACATGAGAAACTGAAGAGTGTTCTACAATTCCCGTACGACTAAAGACCGTCTAGTGTGAAAGCGTGCATTTGGTCACATAGGCCACTAGGCTAGAGGGCGATACGGTAGCCGTGCGGTTCTAGTGGCACTGGACGGCTGCAACACGATTACAAAACGTGCCCGTGTTCAAATCGTGCAATGTGAAAGGTCTCGTACTCTTCAATAGTCGATCAAGAATAATTGCCCGGGCGATTTTTTCCCGCACGAGCAAAATCGTGTAATGTGAAAATAGCGTTATGGCTTTAATAGGTAAACTCCAAAAATATAAATAAAAAAACGTAACAGATATTTCTTGATTATAGGGCGATACGAAGTTCGCCGGGTCTTCTAGTATATGTATAAATAAAATCGTTATACATTAATTCTTTCTTATATTGTCTGCGTAAACGCGACAATCGTATGTATGTATATGTGTGTATTAAAATAAATACATTTATATAATTCACATTTCTACTTAGCAATAACTTTAATAAGGTAAACAAAGGTCGCTTTGTTATCTTTAAATGCACTTTATACAAATCTACTCAATTACATACAGTGACCATTACGATATGATATATAATAATAATAAATTTATGTTAAATATAATATTAATTAGTTTTACATATATAAATTACTATAAATTTGTCAAATTATGCTCATACTACACTCAATAAAGCTAAGTTAAACCTAGTGGTAATACAATACAAATGTCTTTGAGGGTCTACTTATTTTGGTTATTTTTCGAGCTAAAATTATTAAACTTATTAATATTGTAGATTAGACATTAGAATGAGATATAGGATAATGATATACAGGTTGACTGGTGAATTACTATCGATACTTGAGGACGTGATATTTGACGATCATATATGACAAAATGAAAATTAATATAACATAAATATTAATAAACTTCTAAGTAAAGTTAACCAAAAGTTATGTAATTAATTACGCATCGCATGAACACCCTACAGATTAGGTATACACACACACCCGTGCGGCGGCGTGTTGTTGTATCAGCACGCCGCCGCACGCGTCCACACTTGGAACACTTGGAACGTGTACACACTTTATTTATTTATACGGAAATTTGGTCAAAAATTAAGTACCTATTTTTTTTACATAATTCGAATGAGAATCATGTACCGAGTATTCTCCTTAAATATTGATAGTAATTCACCAGTCACCCTGTATATGTTTTATTTCAAAATTCAATGTACATATTTACTTTTGAATTACAACATAACAGACCAATATACATAAAGTTTCGTAACACGGCCTATAGATGTCGCTGTCCACTGATTACTGATTAGTATGACTATCGCGTAAATTTTTGATACCTACATTTCACTGAATCGAATTCCGAATTTTAAACGGACAAAATCGCGGACAAAAGCTAGTGCCCCATCCAAAGATAATTATACGCAAATGGAAATTATTTTAATAAGTAAATTAATGTAACCTGTATTACGAATTATACAAATAATAAGATTTAAATTATTCAATGTAGAGTAACAGAAAAAATAAACAGTGAGAAAATACAACCGATGTTAATGATACTGTGGAATGATTTATGAGGTTCAGTTAGAAATGGCTGGTCATGAAGATATAACAACTGAACTGAAAAATACTCCTCGTAAATAGAATAAGAAAAACTTACAAAGAAATTTAAATATTTACACAGATTAGGAGACATTTTCGATCTTGGACCTTCTTAATTTGAATAAGCCTAATGATTAAATACTTTTTATGAAGATTGACGAAATTTTATTATCCAAGGAGGTTTATATAGACAAGTGACGTCATTTTACCCGCCTTCAAATATACTGACTTGAGTTTTCATAGATAATGTATTTTTAAATCATCTGCACAAATATTTTATAATCTGTGGTGGAATGATCTGTTGATATTTTTGATATGTGAGTTTTGGTTTATCCGAGGTCGGCATGAAATGAATTCTATTTCAGAATACAGACAAAAATATAATTTATTGACAGACATTTAGATTTTAATTTTTGCCTAAACACCTTATATTTCAAATGAATTTAAAAAGTTTATTTATATTAATTCTTATCAATCTGTTGCTTTACCTCTCATAATTTTATAAATTATATTTACAATTATTGTATAATAATTCGTCCATCAAATAAAAATGTTGACATTGAATATTCCAAGATCACAGTGCGAATGTAGCCGTAACATTAAAAAAACTCATGTACAGAGTACTTATGATTTTTTAATAGGTTGAAATTTATAATAATTTTATATCCTAGTGAATAATCACGTACTATCCACAGTTACTAAACCAGTGGGTGTATGACGTATGTACCTTATATCCGTGTTTAGTGGCCGCTACCTCCGACTGGATTTGAAGCCTCGTTTTGGTCAGGTCGAAGGGATAAGTGGCTGAAAGAAAAATATATTATAAACATATGTACATACAAAAAGTATTACATATTTTATAAATATATGCTTTTATATTTATATTATCTGTAGTTATATAAACTATTTTTTTTTTCATATAATCTGTATTCAGTTATAATCGAGCGCGGGAAAATTATAAACATTGTCAGTATATAAAAGAAAGTCTTGAAATTAATAAAATATATATATTTTTCATAAATTGATTACATTATGACATTACTTTGTAAAAAATAAGTATGTATATAAAATAATACTTATTAGTACATATAAAAGAAGTAGGTAAAGTGAACTCTTATATTGTGTCGTTAAAAAGCTTCTTAGAGGATTAGCTCCAAGTGAAGATACAGTTGAGTGTAAGTCTTTAAGAACTCAGACAGGTGTGAAATGTTAAGTTATAATAAAATACCACTTTTAAAATATTATGTGGCTGTATATTGTGGATCGTTTTAAAAATTAATGACAGATGAAATTAAAAAATTAAATTGTCATTTATTGTGTCAATATAAAATTATAAATTTGATTTTATGTTTTTAAAATTAAAGAAGCTTATCATATTCTAAAATCTAAAGTAACACGTAATAATTGTAAGGGATTCCTTTGTAATATATTAACTATAAGTTTAGCGTTAATGACCTTGTTTGTACATTTGAAGGACATTCCATTAATGTGTCAGTCGTTTTAGACGTACTTCCTTATAAATATTTCATTTAGTATATGTGTGATAGATTCTCATATAACATTAGTTAGTTTTTATTATTAATATTAATAGTCGTTCATGTCATACTATTCACAATTATCAAAAGAGGATAGTCACGAAAAATATTAGTATTTTTTACAGGTTGATTAACGTAACTATTTTTTCAATATTTCTTTAATTTTATCATTTTAATATAGACATTGTTTTGTGAACGCTATAATATTATAGCTAATGAGGTTTTTCTTTCGTTTCGTGTATTTTATTTTTGTTAAGAGTGCCCTCGAACGTCGACCTCACAACCCAAGAGACCTTAGTAATTAAGATGTTAAAAATAGTTTAAAAATTATAATGACCATTAAATAACTGAGTTATATAAGTATTTTAAAATTCATCTAGATCAGAACACTGTATTTATTTAAATTTACCACATAAAATTTACGACATACTATAGACAGCATGATTTTTCTCAATGTTTTAATTAAATATTGTATTTATGTAAACATTATAAATTGATTAAATTTAAATAATATACAGTAATAGTTCAATTTAAAATCCCCACTCCCTTTATTTTAATATCATTATTTAAACTCGTTTCAGATGACCAAATGATTTTCTTTATATTGAGTTGAAACCCATCTATTTTATATTTCTCTTTAATTATACTTTCTTTACCATAAAAATATTTTAATATATCCCATAATATGTTTATATTAATCATTTTAAAAAGCTGTGCAATTAATTAGCAGTATACGTCTTGACTCTTGACTTTTTAAAATGCTTTAATTAAAGTCTTTAAAATATAACTGGCTGTATAACACAAAACCTAACGATTGCCGTCGTTACTAAATAAACTAAAAATTTGATTTAAAAAAAAACTGAAATGGACTACGATCAAATTTGTATTTGATTTAAAAAATTCTGTCTTAATATATGTATAACAGAATACCACATACATAATTTGAAACAGCTCTAATATAGGGAAATTTTCGTTTAACTAAAAATAACCACAGTTTAAAAATTATTGGCATTCAAAATAACTTGAACAATATTCTATTTATATTTTTCAATACAAAGTTAATAAGTATTAGATAATTCCACAGATATTATAATTAAATTTTTTGCATTAAAATAAATAATAAACAATGCCTAATGTTTTAAATTCAGTGCACACGAAATTCAAATCATTCTTCCTCAAAATTCAAATTTGTGATCAATGTTAACTAATAAAAACTTTTTACAAATAAACAATAATATACAGTTACAATAATGAATCAGGCCACTTTACTTATTGATATATATATAAAAAAAAACAAAAAGTCAGTTGCACTTGTACCAACATAATAGTATATCGTCAAACAAACAGGTGTACCAACCAATGTATGTTTGTACCTGTCTCAGCGGCCCACGCGCCGAGTACAGCGACGCCGTACCTCGTGAGGACGGAGTCGGTCGCCCGGGCGGCGGGGTGGTCCGCGTTACGGAGTACCGGCATCGCTTCACCTGGGGAGAAGATTTAACATGATAATACGTGTTATATGACGTCATCTTGGTAAGAAAACAACGTCATCATGGTAAGAATACGTGTCACACGACGTCATCATGGTAAGAACAACGTGTCACATGACGTCATCATAATGACAACCTAAATTATAGACGAGGACGAATGGATGAAAAAATATAGTGTTTGGAGTTAAAGTCATATGTACTTCGTTATGTTGGAAAGAATGGGAAGGGAAAGAAAATGTTTTTTTCTTTTATTTCATTAAGACAAACTCTATAAACACTATTTACAACTTACAAGTCATAATTGGTTGCCGTATGCGTTCGAGCGATACGTAGTCCCTCTAGCTCTGTCTATAATAGGAGCGTTAAACATTTAACGCAACCTATTTATATCACATAAAGTTTCACTTCAATATCACTACCACAAATTAATGATCACACTACACACGGGATATTTAAAGTTTTTGATAAATTCTAATACTAATACGTGCGATTTTTTTAATGAATAACTTGATAGCCGTGTGTAGTGTAAACATGTAGTAAGTATGAAGCATGTGTATTATACACGCGAGTAGAACTAAAAAGCATAACGCATTACATTACTATCGTATTTTACGATCCTTTTAATTCTTATGAAAGAAAAAGTAATAAATTTTTTTATAAAACATAATTCCTTTACTTTTAAGTATATATTAATCAATCAACAAATATAAAAAAAGCCAAAGAATCTGATGCATTTAAAAATTTAAAAAAAAAGTATTAAGTCACGTTCGGAAATTGATTTTATTTTACTATTCATATAATTAAAATGAGTTTATATATATTTAAACGCTTTATATGTAGTATTTAATTATTATAATATGTTTTTTTATCTTCTATCTATTCTATTCCTAGTCAGCTGGTGTTAGTACATTTTGTGTATTGATCCGCTCTAGCCATCAAATATTGATCGAGGTCAAGGTTCATGAACTGTATTCTTCATTTATATAAAACAAATCATTTTATACACTGAATAATAATAATTGCATACATTAAAAACATTTAAATTTGTAATCACATTTACAACTGGCGAGTATTCATTTAAATGAAAGTAATATTTTCGGAAAAACTAACGCGTAATACTATATTCGAAAATATTCGCTATATTTTAATTTCCTTTATACACATGTACATATATAGTTTTAATTTTATTATGTGTCATATACTTCTATTTTATGTTCCCAATTAAGCTTAGTTACATATGAAAATTAATGACCACTATAAGTGACATCCGTTTAATAGTAAAATAACAGTACCCAGTAGTGTACTCATACAAAAAGATTGCAACTTTAACCTAAATACAGTAAGTATAGGTTTTAGTTCGACATTATACTAAGGATAGTAACGACTTACTAAACTGCCTTTTAATAAATGTTTACTTCAAAATATAATTTCTCAATTATTATTAAATACATTTACAAATTCAATCATATGAATAGAACATTTTAAAATAAGAACTAACGCAAAAATACATATTCCAAATTCAAAATTACAAAATGTTTTAAGTACATACAGATGCGTCATTCCTTATAAGAAATATATTTACAAATAAGACAATCATTGTTTGTTTAATATTCATAGTAACAGTCGTCATTACAAAGTCCAACGGTACACAATACTCGGGTTAGTAATTGACCCTTTTAATATCAACGATAGATTTAAACGCGTCATTAGAATTTGAATTGAGAATGTTTTCGAATTTCGAATAAAACAACATTGCATGATCTTGATTTTTTTTTAAATATATTTGTTGTGCTTTACTCAGATGCAAAAAGGTTTTATATATTTTGAAAATAAAATAAATTACTTGCAATCGACTAAGTTGCAATGAGTTTTTATATGTGTCATATTATTATCATTGTTCATATCTTCGTTTAAATTTATTTGTACACTCATTGTAACACTTGAAAGTATTTGAGTTCCATTAACGGGAACTTATTCAAGGATGTCAATACAGTACTAGGTATTTTATTTATATATGAAAGACACATTCGACAGCAGTTCTATATATATATCTATGGAAATATGTTATTTATATATAAAAAAATAAACTTCAATATATGTTAATTTCAAGCGTATTTTATCTCTAACCAAAATATACTATAATTAAGGACTTACAAATATGTTTTATAATCTTAAATAATTACTTCTTCATACATTTATTATATTAACATTAATTTATAATTTAACAGCGAGTGTATGGCTAAGATTTGGCTCGTTCCAACCCCGCCTCCTGGAAGGTCGCCAGCCAAAGCCGGGTCGATAGTACTGTCAAACTAACGATACCTATCATATCGTTATACATATCATACTTACATATTAATAATGATACCAATTATTATATTAAGTTATGGAAACCCCACTTATTATCATGATACCAATTTATATTGATTTTTAGTTAAAATATAACCAAAATTTTAAAGAAATTTGCTAATAATATAGCTAAATTAAAATCACGGTTGCTGCAAAGAAACCGAAAGTAACCGAAACGTCGGTATTATGTAATTTTAAAAATAATAAAAAACGCGTAGTAATTCGAAAAGTATTAGTTTCATTTAAATGAATACTCGCGAAAGTTTTAGATCTCAAAAATATAGCGAATATAATATAGAACATAGGATATACATATATTAAATGAATAAATTTAATATATTCCTAGAATACAGGCTATGACGCTGACAAACCACAAATGGCGCCATTTATAGATGACCCTACCTAAGGCGGCCAACCGTCCCGCATTCTGCGGGACCGTCCCGCAATTCTAGACGAAATCCCGCTTTGAAATTATTAGTAAAATAGTCCCGCAAAACGTTGTATGCGTCCCGCATGTCCCGCATCCCTATTTTTCTACCACATTTCTACACAACACCCATACCACGGTTAACAGTGCAGGAAAACAGATTACCTATAATAGGGACAAGCGTATCGCGCCCGCGCTTATCTCATTTTCTATCTTCTGAACTCATGACGCGTAAGAGAGTTGTACTTAAATTTAATATGGGCAGTTGCGAAGATTTTTATGACATTCTCAATCCCTAACGACCCCCCCCCCCCCGCCATTCACGAAAAGTTAAGTCCCGCATTCAGTTTTCGGAAAGTTGGCCGCCTTAACCCTACCTATTTCTTAAAAACATCGTTTACCTATGAACCTAATTACTTACAAATTTACGTACAAAATGTATTACATTTCGTTTATTTTCGTTAACAATCAATAAATCACTAATTACGATCGAAATATATCTAATTGATAAACAAAATAAACACGTATTTAGAGCACTGACATTTTTATGTTAAGCAGTGACGTCATCAGTCGCGCCAAAATTACAATAATCGTCCTTCAGATAAAAAAATGCGTATAAGTACAATTTCTTTTGTCTCATACACTCGTTACGTAAAATGTATCATAAAATCTTTGTTTTAAAATGGCTTACCAGTAGCGTGCTATATTTAATTACATACTTTAAAATCATAATAAATATTTAGAAACAGATTAAAATTTATATTGTATCTTATTAATGAAACAAAGTGGATTGTTGTGTAATTATGTAACGTTTTTGACTTTTTATTATTTGACAATTATAAAATCCATAGATAATAAATTTTTATTTGTGAATGAATTTGTACATCAAATGAGAAACTTCCGCTTATTGTCTGTTTAATATTTTATATAAAAAGAAAATTGTTATTAATAGATTTATTAAATTGTCAAATAATTCATGTTAAGTCTACCAAATAGTGAATAATGAGAATAATTCTCAATTAAATTTAATAATATATAAACACTAATAAAAAATTCGTCACGAGTAACCGGAAGCTAGCAAAAGTAATTTCATAATTGACTATTTTAGTTAATAATATTTAATTAAATAACAGAGTAACATTGAAATAACTCACGTTATATATTGGTCGTCCTTGCTTCAGCAGTTTAAAATTTAAACTGAATAATTTCAATGTGATATGAATGAAACTTCATAACAAGTAATAGAGCGTGATGAAGCTACTTAAATATGGCGCCAAGAGAGCACCGGCTATACAATATACAGGGTGACTGGTGAATTACTATCAATATTTAAGGAGAATACTCGGTACATGATTCTCATTCGAATTATGTAAAAAAAATAGGTACTTAATTTTTGACCAAATTTCCGTATAAATAAATAAAGTGTGTACACGTTCCAAGTGTTCCAAGTGTGGACGCGTGCAGCGGCGTGCTCATACAACAACACGCCGCCGCGCGCGAGTGTGTGTGTGTGTGTATACCTAATCAGTAGGGTGTTCATACGATGCGTAATTAATTACATAACTTTTGGTTAACTTTACTTAAAAGTTTATTAATATTTATGTTATATTAATTTTTATTTTGTCATATAGGATCGTCAAATATCACGTCCTCAAATATCGATAGTAATTCACCAGTCTCCCTGTATAATGCCGAATAATGTTAACAACAAAATAAATAAATTCATAAGTAATTAAATTTTATAAATGTATTAATATCTTGATACTTTGTAAAACAGTACCAAAAATTATAGGCCTTTGTATTTTCGGATACCTTTATAAGAAAAGTATAAATTATGTTTGTATAGAAAATATAAACCATAATTATATATTTAAGACACAAGTATATATTTCCTTTGTCGTCAGTAGCTTCCTCGAAATAAACAGAAAATAAGATAATTTTTCAGTTGCAACTTATTATGTTACAAATAATAAAATTCTTTAATCTTATAATATAATTAATTTAAATTAGTAAAAACTAAAAATACATATTCTTTTTTTAGCTGTCAGTTGTTGAATTAACAGCAGTACTTAAAAACTAATAATTTACTAAAGAGGAAAATCTAACACGTACAATCATTGGCATTGTTGCTATAAATAACTATTTCTCAAAATATAGTATTTTTTTTATTAAAGGTTTATTAAACTAATTATTTAATATTGAATTAATTT